TAAACAACTCTGCACTGGCTTGCCAAGATCAACTCGAAGCGGCAGTGGCAAATCCTTAGCCCTTGACCGCGAGGCGCACGTGATCGATCAAAACTGCCCCGAAGCGGACCTCTTCTCCTTCTGCAGCCAGCACTTGACCCGCTGCACGGAAAAGCTGGAGGATGAGGAGGTGAGCCATTCTTCTTAAGGATGGGAAGGTTTGTCAGGTTGGTGACCGAACCAAAACGTGCGAAACCTAGCAAATAAAGAGAATCATACTGAATATATAACAGAGGCAAAAATTGCCACTCATACTCCTTCCACATTTCTGCGCGTGTTTGGTCTTGTGCCTTTCCTTGTGCAGATCTAAAATGTCTACCAGTCTCCGCACCGAAGGACGAAAACGGGAACACCGCGGAGTGTGGATTTGACTGCTGTCCTAGCTGCATTGATGAGCACAGATGTGGCTATGACCCTTGTGATTACATTTGAGCACCGTTCAAATTTCCCGGTTGGTTGATGATTGTGGGGGGTTACACTGTCCAACATCTTGGAACGTATATGAACATTATGAACATCCATTGTGGGAATCCAAATCAACCAGCCAGAACAGCACAGAGCGCAGTAGCGCAATACAGGGCGCAACAGTGATCACCAGATGCACCAGGGCTGCGAGCTGAAAAGTTGTGAAGAGCCAAAGACTACTGGTGCACGTGATGCCCCATAAATCCCATGACCATAGTGCCATAGTCTAGGTAGGTAGACAGCTTTTGGTAGATATTAGATATATCAATCATACTTAGTCGAGCTTTGAAACCAGCTTCTGACTGGTGGGGCACCACCTTGTGGGATAGTAGCAGGGCGTGGGCTGGCCACATTCCCGTGATGTGCTGGGAATTTGCTGTGATGGCAGGGTGCCTTAAATAACGTAAGAACTACTCAAACTTGTAGTTGGGAGTAGATGGAGAATTACTGCGTCTCAAACTCCATCATAGAACTGGCAATTGGGTGTTTTGCAACAAGCTACCACCTACAGTATAGGTATCTACCGCGTACACAACATATCAGTAATTTTTGGGTTGACTACAAAGAGCTTAAATTTTGAATTGATTGTTGCAATCAAGTGAAAGCTGGTATTTGTAGCAGGTGATGAACTTTTGTGTTTGAAGGGCAGCGCCCACATGCGCCCACGGTTTTCTGCCAAACATATTGAAATCAACTTCGACTTAAACCCGTTCCAAAATCCCTTCCCCCATGAAATACCCCTCTGGATCCCCTACAAAGCTCTGGTTTAAGATTGGATCAATTGGATCTATTCATTTTAGGGCCCCCCCAAAAAATGGCCTCCTGTCCCACGGCCGAGGCCAGGGCATATGGATCCGCGGGAGGCATCAGGTGGCGGCTTCAATCCCTCCAAACTAGGCGGACTGCGGGTGGTGCCCGGTGGTACTGGACTTTCGAGGAATGGAAATCACCGGAGCCATGGCCACAGGGATAGGGACTTCAGGTTTTAGCAACTGCGAAAGCGCCCAAGGTCCAGGTATGGGCCCACACTCCAAAACGACTTATCGGTGTGTAAAATCCGCAAATAGTTCCGACCAGTTACATGTACATGTTGCAATCCCCAAAAAGATACAGAAAAGTTATTTTATAGTTTTAGACAAGTATTTGGATTCTGATGGTATTTGATTAAGTTCTGTTTTTGAAGTTTGCTACAGGATGGGCCCCCCTGGTTATAAGTTGCTTTATAATAAACCATTATAAATTATAATTAATCCCCATTAACTAGTTGGTTATATCTACCATAAACCATCGAAACCAACCACTTATAAACCAAGTTATCGACTGGGCCCCCCATATCACCCATATCTGGTAGTTAAATCTCATAATCTCCATCAGTTTTCCATATATTTTTTCCATTTCCCCTAGTTAAATTCATGTTAAATCCCCATTTTGATGATGGGATTCACCCTCGGATCGCAGGCTGGGATCCCAAGGGCCCCATGAGCAAAGAGTTTCGCCGCTGCATGAACCAACAGAACGACCGGGAACCCGGGAACCCGTGGCAGGATGAAGAACCGTGAAAGAACCGTTTTGGTTATTACATGTTATTACATGTTATTACATGTTATTACATGTTATTACATGTTATTACATGTTATTACCCTCTGGTAATTTTTTAACAGACTTTAACAGTTTGCTATTGAAAATGGCACATTTTGTTCGTTGATTTACCGAACTTAAAGATGATGATTTTCCATGGCAAACTGTAAACGTTTACCAGAGGGAAACGACAAGAACTAAGTGGGACGGTCCTCCCAGTAAGGTCTCTCCAATAAAATCGGTATTAATCACATGTTATTAGCCACTTAATAAGTGGGGCGCACATCCAAATAGGGATCATGGTTTCAAAGTGTGCTTGAGCTACTGGAAATTGCCAAAATCTGCTGTGTGCAGGGTCAGAATTTTATGATTTTTGATCCGCAACCATTTTTTTATCATTTTTTATGGCAATGGAGGCGCGAAGAAACTTGCAAAATGCCTGCTACACATAGTGTATTTGCCATTGTTCCTTTCCCCAGCACTTTCGGTATCACTTTAGATACCACTTTAGAAACCCTGACTTCAGCCGCTCAGGCCGTGCCGCGGCAGCGACATCTGCCGAAGACCCCAGCCATTCCGAGCCAAAAAACGAAGGAATTTCATGGCGAAGCGGCGAAATGTACGACACGTGCATCGAAGATGATTACAAAAGGTGGTCCCCCCTTGTTATGTTTGCATATGTTTGCTGATTTATAAATGTTTATAACCCGAATCAGCTAGTTCCAAATGCTAGTGGCCTTAGTTGGAGTTATAGCTCCCAAGGTTTCCAGAAACCTGTCAGCAAGAGATCGGCTGGATCCAGGAGAGGGGACCGGATTGGGATTCATTGGGCAGGGCAGGGCTTGAATGTGGAATTTCCCCGAATGGCCATTTTCTGAGAATAAACATATGGGCCATATGGGTTTGTTTGTAAGACCTTTTTTCCTAAATCATCTCAGGGTTATATAAGTTATTTAGTTATATAAATACTGTTTACATGTGATATAAAAAATCGTGATGTGTCCCCATCCAATAGCACTATTTCCAGACACACCCGTAGTCTCCAGGGGACCGGTGGCGGCGTGCTGGCGAATCGCAGCGAGCCGGCCGGAAGCAAGCTGGGGAGCCTATGATCTGATGATTTGATGGGTAGGGAATCATGGGGGATCATTCAGATCATTCCCATGGATTTTTCTCGTCAAGTCCCCATGTACTGAGGCGAACTTTTATCGACCCAGGTGTCTTTTAATCGTCAGAGATGGGGAGCTGAAGAGTTGACTACGATTTAGTTACGATTACCCTCTGGTAAACTAACAGTTTGCTATGGAAAATCACCATTTTAAATAGGAAAACCATCTATAAATGGGCCATTTTCCATGGCTATGTTAAATAACCAGAGGGTAGATACAATTATTCTCAATTCTTATCATTACTGTATAGTTACTACTACTTTTAATATTGCTGCTGCGCTGCTACGCCTACTATTGCTGGGGCTGCTACAGCTACTGCTGCTCCTACTTCTACTTTCATTCTACATGACTCCCTGCGGCAGTCTGAAAGGCAATTGTATTCTCACAGGGCCGCACGTACATAGCTAAAGACGAGTTGGAGGTTGTGGTTGTCATGGTTGTCGTGGTTTTCATGGTTGTCGTTGTCGTTGTTGCTGTCGTCGTCCTCGTCGTGGTGGCGGTCGTTGTTGCAGTTGATGCTGCTGTTGCTGTTGTTGCTGCTGCTGTGGTTGTGGTTCGGTGATGTGTGATCCAGCACAAAATTCCGTGAAGAAACTGATCTAAAACGCTTAATGGATGAGCTAACCATTTTGTAAGGCCTCATTGCATCAGTGCCCCCCCAAATCCGCGTGTTTCAAACTCAGAAGAGTTCATCTTGGTGAATTATGACAATAGATCATTACCAATGTTTTTCCTGAAGAGTGTTGTCCAGGTGAACTGTTTGAAGAATTGCTTGTGGAAATAGAACTCTTTTGAATTCGGTGCATACCAGCTGGGTTCAGTCCGTTCACCGCCTGGTCGGCAGGGGTAACCCCCTGGTTGGTTGTTACCACCGCATTTTCCAAACTCTTTTTGGGATTCCATCATATCAAGATACAGTATATCAACATTATTTACAGGTTAAACCTGTCTAGAGGTAACACTTTTATAAACTAACTATCAATGAAACATATTACACGCATATGTGTATATATATATATACATGTAATGTAATGGAATGGAGTGCCATGTTATGTTATGTTATGATATGTTATTGTTTGTATGTTAAGGTAGGGTATGGTAAGGTATGGTATGGAATGTAATGTATGTCATGTATGTCGTGTATGGCATGTATGGCATGTATGGTATGTATGGTATGTATAGTATGTATGTATTGTATGTATGACATGGTACGGTACAGTATGGTATGGTCTGGTATGTATGGTATAGTGTGGTCTGGTAGTGGTGGTACTGGTAGGTATGATATGGTATGGTATGTATGTATGTTCAAGCACGTTTCGATGTTTTTTTTGGTCATTCAATGCCCCTCACGTAGCTGATTTCCCTGAGGCCAACACGTTTGGGCGTTGGCTGGCTGATGAAGGACGGCATAGTGGTCAGAGATTAAGCTTTTCTCTCTGATTTGTGATAGGAATAAATGCAAATAACTCAATAACATGAAGCAAACAAGATCGAGTAAATATTTAAATGAAAGTCGTTTTGCATTTTTTGCCACAAAATGGGGCCCGAAACTTGTTTCAACCGCATTCCATGCATATGCGTGCGTTTGAACATGGGGTATTAAAATACCACCTAAATTGCAATTTTCATAGCGGAAATGATGACAAACCATGGGATTTTTGGGGTACTCTATGTTATCCATCGTAGAAAGCCGCCCCAAACTCCATCTGTTGACCTGGAGAATGGGCAGGTCTTCAGATCTAGTAGTTACCCTCTGGTTATTTAACAGTTCGCCATGGAAGCCATGGCCCATAGAAATAGATGGTTTACCCATTATAAATGGTGATTTTGATTGCTATGTTAAATAGCCAGATGGTAAGAGGTTTTATTAATGCTTCTTGATGGTTCATAAGCCATCAATAAGCCCCTATTATTGGTGATTCACCATTGCTCCTTGCAGCCTGGCCATGGAAACCAGCCAGGATGGGCATGGAGGGCCCATCAATAAATTGGCCGCGGAAAAGGCCAACGATGCAGAACTGGCTGTGGGCTGCTGAGGGCAACGGAGGCGCTGTACCAGTAGCATCTAAGGCTAAGGGACCTAAGCATTCCCCGACTCTCGTACCAGACGGCCATGGAGCCACCAAAACGATGCCGCCAAAAGAAAGTTGCGAATAAAGAAACATGTGTCAAACTAATAATGCCCATTGAGATATCGTGCCACTATTACTATGCGACGTGAATGGTTTTGAATTTCATGATGAAGATTATGACGAGGACGGTGACCATGTTTTATAATGCGTGTGAGATGATCGTGAAAATTATCGTGAGTCATTTTTTTGACTCATCATTCTTCTCCCACCATTCTGACGATTCTCATTACAATAATACTTTCACTTGTGATTATGTCTACTTTCATAATCTTTCATAGTCTTCATGCATGTTGTTTGCATCATCATCATCATCATCGTCGTCGTCGTCGTCGTCATCATCAGCAACACCACCACCAGCATCATCATCATCATCATCGTCGTCGTCGTCGTCGTCGTGTCATCATCATCATCATCATCATCATCATCGTCATCATCATCATCATCATCATTTTTGAACCATGGTTGATAACAACATATAACAATGGCTATCACTCTCATCACTATTATTATTGAATAGTAAATAACTTAACCAATTATTGATATCATGGATCTCATGGGCTGACCACAAGCTGCCGAGGCACTGAAGGTGGAACCCGAGTGCCCCAAGACTCGAAAGTCCAAGGAGCTCTGCAATAGGAGGGCTCAACCCCCCAAAAAAGATAGAAATTTTGTACAAGTCCTTTAGCAAAAGTAACATAGAGGTAAAATCTTGAAATCTATCTTCTTTGGGGGATGATGCAATCTTCTTTGGGGGATGATGCACGTATATTATAGTACAGTATATTATATTATGCTATATTATATTGTATTATATTGTATTATATATATTATAGTCTATTATATTGTAAAACATGTTATATAATATTATATTAAATTATATTATATGATATTATATTATTTCATGTTATATGATATTATGTTATGTTGTATGATATTATATTATATTATAATATATTATATTATATTATATGATTTCATGTTATATGATATTATGTTATGTTGTATGGTATTATAGTATATTATATTATACTATATTATATTATACTATATTATATTATATTATATATTATATTATATTTCATTATATTATATATATATTTTATTATATTATATATTATTATATTGTATATGTAATATTATATTATATTATATTATGTTATATTATATTATGTTTTCTTTTTTTTTTTTTAAATTATGTTATATTTTATATTATATATATTATATGATGTTATGTGATATTATATTAAGTTATGTTATCATATTATATTATACTATGTTATAGTATACTATGTTGAATTATATTATATTATATTATACTATACTATGTTGTATTATATTATGTTATGTGAGGTTATATTATGTTTTATAATTACATATATATATATATTATTGAATAATATTATATATATAATTAAATATTAAGTATCATATATCATATACTATATGTAATATATTATATATTATATATTATGTATTTTATTATTTATTATATCTTTATTATTATATTTATTATTACTATTATTTATATATGTTATATATTTTATGTTAACTATTATATTTTATTATATTATATTATGATATTATTACATTATGAAATTATATCATATTATATTGTATTATATTAGGTTTATTATATTATATTATTTTATATCATATTATGGTATATTATTATAGTACATTATATTATGTTTTACCATATTTTAGTATATAGAATTAAGTTATATTATATCATTGATACTAGATTATTTTTTTTGGCTATACTATATAATATCATACTATGTTATATTATTTTATATCATACTATGTTATATTATATTTTATCAAATAATGCTTTATTACATTATATTATATTTTACTACAATATATTATATCACATTATATTATACTATATTATATTATACTTCAATTATATTATATTCTATTATATTATATTATACTATATTATGTTATATTATTTTATATTATACATTTTTTTGACCATACATACCCAATATATGTATACATATATATATATATATATGTATTTATAGATTATTGTCCAGTTTCGAACTGGGATGCACATCCAAGTTTCCCCCAGTAATGCAAAATCACAGGAACATCGTCTACAAACAAAGGATTCTCCACTGCCACGTTTGCCACGTTTGTTTACCAGAGGCTATCCGGGCTGGCAACCGTGGCAATAGAAAAAGTGAGCACCCCCTAGTCCTAGTCCTGGGTAGGTGAAGATTCCCGTTTGATCGAATTATTCTTTTCATGCTTGGGATCAATGGTTTCCTTTGAGGAAACATATATAAAAATATAAGGGCCAATTTGATTTACTATCATCTATGTCTATACCTATGGGTTGGTTTTCACGTGGGGAACCCTCTGGTAAAAAACCAGCCAGTGGGAAAAGGACATCTATGTTCGGGATGTTGCCGAGGGTGGGTAAACGAACTTCCCAGCCTCCCAGGATGGAAATGTTCGGGAAGAGCTTGGAGTGCCGTGGGCCACTCCCAGCAACGGCTGCCGCACATTTCTCTCTCATTTTGGCGGGATCAATATATATATATATCCTCATGATTTGCAGCAGTTTATGTTCAGCAATTAATCGTTGGCCAAACATGGCAATATCAATCACATGTTTTGTTTGACAAATATATATATATATATAATTGTATATATATATATATAATTGTATATATATATAATTGTATATATATATATATATTACGATATATATATATGTATATGATATTGCCTTGTTGGATTTTCACAGGGTATATCTCGTCGAGATGGAAAGCGGATATAGGTTGAGGTGCTTGGCTGCTTTGAGGCCTTATGCAACCAGCATCCCTTGTGCAGTTTGGCCCGTCAGGTCCTCGGTCCATGGGGCTGTTGATTTGGGATCCCAACTTTTTCCCTTGAAAAGTCCTTTCAACATGTTCAAATTATTAAACTATGTCTCCATATGGGTTCCGTTCGGTTCCTGGGTCCTAGGGTTTCGTTTTATTCAAGTCGTTTCAAGATGCCTGATTTTGGTGACGCCTGGGGTGTTTTGCGATATGCAGAATCATTTCAACCATTTAGACACCCATGGATCCGAGGATAGCCCGGAGCCAGCACCGAAGCCATCTGCTTCCAGCCGTGCCAGGTTTTGTTGGGTCATGGGAAAAGGAGGTGTTAAACACGTTTGTTTTTTGGATGTTCGGACCCACATGCATCGGTTGAATGGTACCAATGTTTTAGCATGTTTTAGCAGCGGCAAGACTTAGAGTTTCTCGTGCTGACGATCTGCATAGATGTAACATGATGTAACTAAACCCTTTGGTGATCCAACAGGATTGGAAGATCATGTTTTCCCGCTGCCATAGCAACTGTGTGTTTGCAGGGTGTGAGTCTTTACTGTAGATGTATTGGCAGGAGGAAAAAGACCTCGCAAAGTCAGCCGTGATTCCAAGGGGTGATATGGGCATGGGTCAGGTCACTTGCTTGTACATACTTGTGCATGCCCATTCCATCCCATTTCTGCAGGTTGGGTACTTAGTCCTAAAGGCATCGAAACCTGTGATTTGCTAAAGCTTGCGTACACAATATCTTCTCACATTTGGCGGCACTACATGTTTCACAAGGATGTTTCACAAGGCAGACAACACCCTACGGTCCTGACTGATCGCCATTTCTATCGTCACATCACTTAGGCATCCAATCCAATTTGGTCACAGCTTGTGAGACGACACGATTATACGATTCAACATGCCTGAAATCCAGTGGCTGGGGCTCCTCCGGGACGTTTTTTGGTAGGAAAATGGGGCTGAACATGAGGGATACCTGGGATACTCTCCGACTCCAAGTGGCCATTTCATAGGGAAAATTATCACCAGTGGGTTTGTCATTTTCATAGAAGAACTATGAAGAACTATATAGTAATGATCAGCCAGGGGGTTTGGGGGTACCTCTGTTTCTTTCTCAGACACAACCCATATCCGTATGGATTTATTCATCCATGTATTTCTGCATGCCCATTTCTCCGCTTCTCCAAATGATACCTGCGCGCCCCCTTAAGGTCGAAGCTTACTGTAGCTGGTCAGAAGCAAGTCGAGCGCGGCTCCAGCATGTGAGGAACTGAGACACCAGTGGTGACTGATCTGCAGGGTTTATCTGGTTTTACCTTCACCAGATCCACTCAACTTGATTCGAATTCTGAGACACATCCGTTCATCATCTTTATCTAGCCCATCATAGCCCCATCATATCCCCCAAAGTTTGGCAAAAGCCAGGGCAACTTCTAGGAAATCATTGGCCCAATTTTGAGGCCAAACTTGCAGGATCCACAGCCGGGAACCTGACAGGGCGCCAAAAATGGGTAAACCTTGGTGGGTTGGAATAAATTAAACTTTAAAATGGGTAAATTAAACATGTTTACAAAGTACAATATATAGTTTCTAAAATTATTTACTTTGACGCTGCAAAACTTGGCCATAAACGAGGATAATGAGGATATCTACAGCGACTTTTGTTTTTGCATATCCAAATTTGCCCATCATGGGCATTTTTCAGCCAAATGTCATATGGCTCCTTTCCCATCCAACGAATGTACAGGAAAGCATCATAAGTCATAAGCCACCGATTTATCATCATTGTGTTGTCCACTTTTCCCAGAATTGGATGTTGGAAACATCAGAGGACACCCATGGAAAACCTCAAACATGGTGAGTAAAAAAACCATGGTTTCCAGTACCCTCTGGTAAACTAACGTAACTATGGAAAATCACAATTTTATAGCTGGGAAAATCCACTATAAATGGCAATTTTCAATAGCTATTTTGACATAACCAGAGGGTAGATCACATCATCGAAGTTTTCGGCTCTCAGGTTTCTGGCTCAAGAGGAAGCCCTTGGAAGAGCTATGGATCGAAGTCGTTGGAGACCTCGGTCGGATTTGCGATTGAACATGGATCATCATTGATCATCATTGATCATCATTGATCATCATTGATCATCATTGATCCATGTTTCAAGCAGTGGTAGAAGTGGCTGATCCATTCCTTCCAGGGTTTTGGATCTAAAATGTTTTTTTTCTTTTTTCCGGTAATTTGTTGCTACGGAAAATGGAGGAGTATGTCCCATTTAAATTTAGTTCGATGTTTTTTTTTTGGGGGGGGGTAGCTGTGTTAAATTACCAGAGAGAAAACGCACACACACACATAATCATATATCATATGTATATATATATATATACATATATAAAATATAATATTATATATAATCATGCGCGCGCACAGCGCGCACACACACACATATATATATATATATGTATATATATATATATATATACATGACGGGATATAGGGTTCTCACTAGTTGCTACGCCAACCTTTGGCTCAAGAACACCGCTGCTAAAATAGCGAGTTGCATATTCTCCGTTCATGGTAGCGGAGCGATACGCTCCAGGGTCTTAGCAATGGACCAACAACAAGCGGCACAGGTCCTCCAGTCGCTCCAGGAACTACAGACCGAGGTCAATCGACTAAGAGGCCGAGAAGCTGAACTGACAGCACAGGTCGCTTCTTTTGGTGCCGGTTCGGCTGCTTCAGCTGGACCTGGCAGTGCACTGGCACAGTTGGTGCAGTCACAAAAGGAGCTTGTGGACGCCCTTAGATCGAAAGAACAAGTCCGGTTGGTCGACAACAAGGGCCTTGGCAAGCCCGACAAGTTTGATGGGACAGCCGAAAGATTCTTGTCATGGAAAATCAAGACGTCCTCCTATCTTGCAAGTGTTCGCAAAGACATTCGTGAGATTCTGGTTTGGGCCGAAGATTGCGATCATGCAATCACTGCAGATGACATCGACAAGGCTTTTGGGAGTCAAGCAGATGCCATTGACCAGGTGTCGAACATCAGTGAATTGAGACGCGAGCTTTGGGACGCGCTGCTAATGCTGACAGAGCGTGAGCCCTTTGACATCGTGCTGAACACCGGGGAATGCGGCATCGAAAGCTGGAGAAAGCTCACGCGGAGGTACGACCCATCCACTGGTGGTCGCAAACGCGCTCTCCTCAATGCAATCTTGTCACCGGCTCGATCCAAGATGGAAGATTTGCCGTCCAACCTGGAGAAGCTTCTTGACAGCATCAGACTTTATGAACGTCGCAAAGACGCATCTGGCAACCGAACGATGTTGGCAGAAGACATCAAGATCAACGTGATTGAACGATTGGTGCCGGCAGAGCTCGAGCGTCATCTCGTTCTCAATCGAGATCGCTTCAAGACGTTCGAGTCCATGCTGTCCGAGATCCAGTCCTATGTGGAACATGCCACCGGCAACAAGATCAAGGTGGTGAATAGCCAGCCCTACGACGCACATGGCCGTGGGGACGATCCTATGGATGTCGGAAGCTTTGGAAAAGATGCGAAGGGAAAAGGTAAGGGCAAGAAGGGAGCTGGAGGAAAACCTGGAAAGGGAAATGCAACAGCTGAGAAGAGAACATGTCACAACTGCGGACGCCCAGGACATCTGCGGGCAGATTGCTGGGCACCTGGAGGCCCCAAACATAAGGGGACGGGTGGCAAAGGCAACAGCAATCAGAATAAGGACAAGGGCAAGGGCAAAGGCAGCCCCGGAAAGCACAAGCAGAAGCCCAAAGGAGGCAAATCTGTGAACAATGTCGAACAAGGTGAACCAGAAGCAGAAGACTGGGACGCAGCTGATGGCGACGATGGTCAACAAGCAGCAAATGGTTTAACGCTCTATGGCGTTGATGGGCCACCACATGACGAGGATGACGACGAAAGTTTCCAGGTCGATCCCGAGTCCGAGGAGTCGGAAGCCTCGACAAGTCGCAGAAGGTGGTTTTCTTTGCCTCACCCACGTGCGTCATGGCCTGAAGAGTGGGACGACCCCGACTATGATGGACCGAGTGGATCGAGTGGCTCAAGACCCCTTCGGTCGCTTCGACTGGAGGAGGTCACCGAGCACGAGACCACTACATCCAAGTCCGCGTCTTCCAAGGCACCTCGAACGCCACAGGGAAGACCCAAGAGGGGCAGAAGTCCAAAGAGCTCAACACCAAAGAGAGGCAAAGCAAGCAGATCAGGGCCAGTCACTCCGGAGTCAGCACTCCGACGCTTTCGAATGACTTCGATGACACCACCACCAAGGAGAAGGTTGAGGCATGGGCCACAGACTCCAGAAGAACTTCTTCGTAGCTCTACACCTTTGCCAAAGACACCACCGACACCTATAGCATGGCCTGCATCACCTCCACAACAGCCGATAGCCTCGCCCAAGACTCCACCAGGACCACCACCAGGATGGCAAAGCCAAGTAGCTTCACCCAAGACTCCGCCATGTCCACCACCGGGATGGCAAAGCTCTCAGGTGAAGCCACCACCACCTGTCAAGGCATCATCGGCAGCTTCGACTTCAGGTTCTCGACTTGTCCAGATGCTGAAGGCTGCGCTGAGTTCACAAATCCGCAAAGTCCAAGAAGAAGATCCTGGTTCAGGAGATGGCCAGGCAGATGCAATGTTAGCGGCTTTGAGGACTAGATCTGTCAAGGCACCGCACATCACAAAGCAGAACATCAGCGATCCTTCTTTCCACGACTCGAGATACCATGCCGAGATTGCCAAAGGTGTTGCACACAATGTGGCCTGGAGAAATGAACGTTTGAGAAGACGTGCAATCGTCCACCGACGAGGAGGAGTCAAGGCACGTGCGGCTGAAAGGATTCGACTTGACAAAGAATGGCATGAACGCTTTGACAACCCAGAAAATCCAGAAGGCATAGTGAGAATCGAGGATGAAGACAACTTGGATGCGGGCATCGAGACGGTGGTTGTGGGCAAAGCTGGTCAGAGCACAGTGATAGAGTTTTCAGCGGAAGAGCGGAAAACTTTGAGGCAGTTCCCGGACGACGAGGCCAAGTTGCTGCGGAAGGATCCCAAGAAGAAACCCATGACCAAGCGTGTTCGAAGCGTTGGGTACAGGGTGAAGAAGAATCGCAACCGCAATGTGGCGCGCAAGATGGCGAGGAAGAACCGACCAGCCTTGGTTCTGAAGGAAAACACTGAAGTGAACGCAGATGAAGATGATGATGAAATGGAAGAGGTCTACATCGAAGAGCCTGATGAGCCTCGAGACCGACCAGGCAGAGGAGACCCCGATGGTGGAGCTGGATCGGCTCCTGCTGCAGTCTACAGCTTGGGGGCCTCTGACGACTGGCGAAAATGGGAACGAGCAGAGTTGAACATCGACACCGGTGCTGCCATCACTGCAGTACCACTTGACTTCGCCAAGGACTACCCGAGGAGCGAGTCCAATGGAGCAAGCTACAAGGCAGCCAATGCGGAACCCATCGAAGATCAGGGAAGTGGGAAGCTGGTGGGATACGACGAATCTGGCAACAAGATCCCAATCGATTGCCGAGTTGCAGATGTGCATCGGCCACTTCTTTCAGGTTCCGAGATCGCCAAGAACTACCACATCGCCCTTGGACCATCTTCGGGGAGATTGATCCCAAGAAACACTCCTGCGGGACGGGCCTATTCGAAGGCCATGAAAGATCTGATCCGAGATTATGGCGATTCAATGCCCATTGTGCACAATCGCCGAGGCATCTATGTGTTGGACTATTGGGTGTCACCTTTTCAGGGGCATCCTCAAGAGGAGTAAGACCACAAATCAACGCTGTTGGCGAGGATCCAGCTGTTTCAGCCGGAGCCGATGCCATGGAAGATGGAGGCGATGTTTCAGCCGCTTCGGCCGGAGCAGGGTCCTCAGGCGATGTTCCAGCTGCTTCAGCCGGAGCAGATGCCTTTGAAGATGAAGTTGATTTGGAAATCGGTGAAGAACAGAGGAAAGCCATTGTGAAGAAAGAACCACATCAACCATCCCAAGCTGAAGTTGACGAACATGAAAGCACTGGACATGTTGTCCATCGGAGCTGGTGCTTGCACTGCAAAAGGGCACGTGTGACTGCTGATCGCCATGTGCCTAAGGAACTTGATGAGCCAGAAACGCAGTTGCCCACGCTGAGCCTGGACTACTTCTATATGAACCAGGACCAGGTTGCGGATGAGGCGACCCTTCCGAGCATTGTGGTGAAGTGCCACAAGACCAAGAGATTTTGGGCGAGCGTTCTCCCGGGAAAAGGGGCGGATGCGTTCGCAATCGCGTGGCTTGGGGGAGTTTTGGATGATGCTGGTTTTAATAAGGTAATCCTTAAGTCTGACGGTGAACCCTCCTTGGTATCCCTTAAACAGAAGGTTAAGGAGATAAAGACCCACATCGAAGTGCACTTGGTGGAAACCCCAGTAGAAGACCATCAAGCCAATGGGTTTATCGAAGTGGGAGTGCGAGAGATAAAACGACAATGTCGTGCTCTCCTCAGCGACCTGGAGTTCAAGCTGGAAAGGAAGGTAGATCCGGGCCATCCACTTTTGGTTTGGCTCCCGCGGCATGCTGCCTTTCTCTTGACGAGATACCGAGTAGGTACTGATGGAAAGACCGCTTTTGAGCGGACCTATGGACGAAAATGGCGGATTCCGCTTGTGAGGTTCGGTGAAAGCATCCTGTATAGGCCGAGGGCCAATCGTGGGGGCAAGAGAAATGACCTTGCTCCAAGGGTATCCATTGGGATGTACGTTGGAACTGGAAACAGAAATTCAGACGTCTTTGTCATGACGGAACGTGGAATCATGAAGGGGAACTCGATCCATCGACGCCCACCTGACGATCAGTTCAAACATGATCAGTTTGACTCGCTACGTGGCCTTCCTTGGAGGTTGCAAGAACGAGAACATGGTGGACTGAGGATCGCCCTTCCCGATGTTGCAGCGCCTCGTGAAAGGCCTGCAGTGCAAGAAGTGATCCCAAGGAACCTCTATGTCACCAAGAATGACTTGGAAAAGCATGGGCACACACCTTTGTGTCCTGGATGTGAAGCAGCAATACTTGAGATGCCAAGCCGAGCTCACAATGCTGAGTGCAGACAAAGAATCCAGATCGAACTTGACAAGACTCCAGAAGGTCAAGAAAGGATCAAAAGAGCGAGAGAGAGAGAGTTGCACAAGGCAGGCGCCCAAGAGGCGCGGCTGCACCGCCTGAGGGTGGTGGGGCAGAAGGTGGTGAAGCTGCACCACCAGTTGTCCCAGGAGGGGAAGTTGAACAACCAGTCTTGCAAGACCGTGTTCCTTTGGATGCGGAAATGGATGCAAGTGAGGCTGTTGGTGAACCACTGGTCGACACCGATTTTCGTGGAGAACTCAGACAGAGAGAACAAGAAAGAGAAGGAAGCCCAAAGAGGCAGAAACAAGAACAATCCCGAGGAGAGAAAAGGAGTTCACAAGTCGACGTTGAAGATCTTTACAATGAATCTTCAGCTCAGGCTTCAGGGTCAGCCGGACCACCGGCACCGGATGCTTCATCTGGTGTTCCGGAAGGTGCTGCCGCTGCACCAACAAGTCCTGAGACAAACCAGGAGATGCTACATCTGTGTTCCTTGCTCAAAGATGTGATCGCAAAAGGGAAGGTTGCTGAGATCTTCTCTCCACCGCGTGTGGCTGCACAAGCCCAAGTGGTCGGGCTAGCACCTGGCTTCTCGATTGACTTGGAGACAAAGCGTGGTGATGGAACTCACTGGGACTTGAGTAAAGATGAACACATTCGTGATCTGTTTCAACTGCTTGACTATGAGAAACCAGAGTTCCTCGGCGGCTCACCTCCCTGTGGGCCATTCTCGAAGCTGCAAAACATTGTGGATGCGAAGGGCAATGTTTCACCTGAAGTTCGAGCGCAGAGACTAAAAGATGGTCGCAAACATCTGCGCACGGCAGTTTCAGCGTATGAGCATCAAATGAATGCTGGAAGGTACTTCTACCATGAGCACCCTAAAGGGGCCGCTTCGTGGGAAGAGAGAGCTGTGAAGAGACTGAGGGCAGATGAACGGGTGTATGAAGTCACTGGACCAATGTGCCGTTGGGGAATGAAGGCCGCCGATGGCCAAGGTGAAGGGTTAGTGAAGAAAGAAACTACCTGGCTCACGAACTCTCCAATCCTGGCACAGACCCTACAAGGGTGCTGTTCAAACAAAGAAGGCAAAGTTTGGCACCGCCATGTACATCTTGTTGATGGACGAGCCTGAGCTGCCCAGAAATACCCACCAAAGCTTGTCCACGCAATTCTCAAGGCCATTAGGCGCCAACTGGAATGTGATGGAGAACTACACTCACTTTCACATGGCCCAGTACCCGATGCTGGACCTGTGATCAATGAAGAGGAGGAGTTTTGGAAGCAGCTGCCCGACAGCGATGACACCATCGTGGAGCCAGTGCTTGACGCACACTCCGGTGCTGTCTTGGATGTTGACAAGGTCAGAGCTGCTCGACAAGAAGAACTAGCATGGGTACACAAACAGGGTATCTATATCAAAGTTCTACTCACAGAAGCCCAACAGTCTGGAAAACCGGTCATCACCATGAAATGGATTGACAGAAACAAAGGGGATGCAACACACCCCAACTACAGGTCACGTCTGGTCTGTAGAGAGATCAAACGGGCCAGCAATGCTGACTTCATTCCGGACTATGCGTCCTTCAGTTCGATGCCGCCTTTGGAATCGCTGAAATTGCTTCTATCGCTTATGGTGACTTTGAGACGATCCAAGTCTGGCAATGCACTGAAAGTTCGTCTTCTTGACATATCACGCGCTCACTTCTATGGAGAGGCAGAGCGTGATATCTTCGTTCAGTTACCTGAAGGAGATCGACAAGAAGGGTTTTGTGGCAAGCTCGTTAAGAGCATGTATGGAACACGCGATGCATCAGCGATCTGGCAAAGATCATATACAGAACTTCTCATCCGAGCTGGTTTTGCCAAGAATCAAGCTTGGCCATCCTGCTTTTACCATGAAGGTTACGGTGGTATTCGAGTTCTTGTACACGGAGATGACTTCGTGGTGCTTGCTGATGATGCTGGACAGAAATACCTTGAGGACACCTTGAGGTCCAAATATGATCTGCGGGTCGATGGATCGATCGGTCCTGGAGAACGGCATCAGCAGTTCGCAGTGCTCAATCGAATCGTGACCTACAACGAGCAGGAAGGCTCTGTATCCTATGAGGCGGACCCCCGCCACGTTGACCAGATGGTACGAGATCTAGAAATGGAAAACTGTAAGCCAGTCAAGACACCATCTGAGAAAATGTCAGCCACGGAGGCCAACTTGAAGTTGACCACCCCGACCATCACACCGGACCGTGTAAGTTTCTTCCGGTCTCTGGTGATGAGAGCGTCGTATGTGGCACAGGACAGACCTGACATCGCGGAGGCAGTGAAATGCCTATCAAGAAGAATGCATGAGCCCAAAGAATCTGACTTTCAGGATCTGAAACGCTTGGTGAGATTTCTGAAAGGGAAACCACGTGTACTTTTGAAGTTTGGTCGCCAGAAGTTTGCTGACACGATCCACATGTACGTGGACTCCGACTTCGCTGGGTGTCTTCTTACAAGGCGCTCAACAAGTGGACTTGTGGCAACCTTTGGCCGCCACACGGTGAAGGCCTCGAGCACTCTTCAGAGCACGATCAGCTTGAGTTCCGGTGAAGCGGAATACTACTCGATCGTTCGAGGAGTTTCCATCGGAATGTCGCTACAGGAGATCTTGCGAGGATGGGGCCTACAACCAAAACTTAAAGTGCACACAGATTCATCCGCTGCGCTGGGAACATGTAACCGTCAGGGCTTAGGCCGCTCACGGCATGTTCAAACTCGCTTTCTGTGGGTGCAAGAAAAGCTTGCACTACATGAATTCGAACTGGTGAAGATCCCGACAAAGCAGAACGTAGCTGATTTGTGCACCAAAGGTTTACCTGCGAATGAGATGGAAAGACACATGCAAAGCATGGGGTTCGAGTACTCTCATGGTAGAGCCGAAGCTGCAAAGGCTTTGGAATGAGTGTACATCAGCTTAGGAAAATCCCAGCCTCTGTACAGGAGGGGTGACGGGATATAGGGTTCTCACTAGTTGCTACGCCAACCTTTGGCTCAAGAACACCGCTGCTAAAATAGCGAGTTGCATATTCTCCGTTCAATACACGCACATCACGAGGGGTCGGCTCAAGAAAATAGTGATAGAACTCGATATAATGCGAATATGATAGGTGTACAACTGTACAACCACGCCTTGTCAGTCCTGATTCCCGCGGTTATACTGCGACGTCGCAACAACACATGTCGATGAAGCCAAGGGGCTGTAGCTAAATGCTCAAGAGCAGAATTCATTGAACAATCCGTAGATAGCAATCAATTTGCAAGTCAAAATTCGAACTCAGTAGATTTTCAGAATTATAGTACTATAATTTTTCTGCATTTCTAGCTGTTTTTGCTCTTTATGTTTAGATTCCAAGCAGGGCACCATGGCTGGGACGACCAATTTCCAAGATCCCATGGCTGGACCGTGATGAGGTCAGTTCTTGAACAACCCCTCCAACCATTGGTTCGGGCCTTGGAATCCTTGGAGGGCCGGGATCGATCGGCCTGGCCGGGATCTGCGAGTAGACTCAGCGACTTTGGGATTTGGTACTAAATAAGTATAAGTATGTAGTGACACACACACACACAGAAATATATATCTACATATAAAACACACACAGATATATATATATATATATATGTATGTAGGTGTATTCAGAAGTAGCTGGATATGGGGTGCAGTTCCACTGAATCAGATCTTGAAAGTGCAATTGTGACCATAGTATGCCATAGTTACATTGGCTGATATCCCCACTTATGGGGACCCTCGGGTTTGCTAAGGTACAAGCCGCTGAGCCACTCCGACGTGGCCAAGTTTGCGGATGCCTATAGCAAGGCTTGACTCTGCATGTCGGGGAAGCCTCAATCATTCGAAGGGTTCGGGTTTACTACCGGCTTCACCAACAGCCAAGATCAGCCAAGATATGCCAAGATATACCTAGTCACTAGGGGCGAATCTGAACCATCTACTGTGGTGGGGGCAAGCCTTTGGGGCTGTTCCTCTGGTATATTCATATCATTTGTCCCAAGGTTGGAAAACTTCGAAGGGCTCTTGTGGTTGCAACCCAACCAGCTTCAACAAAATCCACACCCGGCCTCGAACAGCCGAACAACCCGGTTTTGTTTAAGACTTGAAGATTCATCATCCATCATCATCCGTCATCATCCTATTGGTCGGAAACTCCAGTTTTGACTAACCAGATGCTCCATCGTAGGCCTGGGGCGTGAGCCTCTACGGAAAGTGAGTTGGGCACCGCCAACCACCAAGCACCATAGAAGACGGCCTGGGGATGTAGCAATCAGTAATTAGTGCCGATCCAAATTTGCTCCGAGCCAGGCACCCTTTTTCAGGTGACCCAGAACTGGTGTTGGATTTAAGACTGGGATGAGTTTTGGAACCTCTGCAAAGAAGCCAAAGCTGAACAGTTTTTTTTTTCTTGGGTCGTCTCAGGGGTGCAAGGTGGCGCAATGATTCTTCTAAGCCAGGCTTGATCCAAGCCACCACCTCCAATATCAACATGAGCCAGTGGTCAAATGGATTGAACGACACTGGGTGGTTGAGCACTGTTGAGCTCTTCACCACATTTATGTGCCAATATAAATCAGATCTCAGATTGTCAACTTATGTGTGCATGTATATGTATGTGTATATACATACATACACATGTTTGCAATTGGCTTTGAAAAGGTTCCCTTCTCCGTGTTTTGTTTGGCAGTTTGCGTACATTTCCAGCTACTGTGACATTCTTTTTGCTTGGATCAGCTGCTGAGCGTTGCAATTGCCAAATGGCAACTGCGGAGTCTCACGTGAGTTCTGGACAAAAAAGGCTTAAAGACGGGGGAATCCTAGGGGTCCCAAAGGGGAACTTCAATCCCTCATGGAACATCACAGCGCCTTTAGAATGTATCAACCAACCAGGGCTGTAACGGAATCAGCATGGAAGAGGGCCGGCAACAAGAAATTCCTGTGTTAAACTGGCAAGCACGACGCTAAACCGACCCTCTTGGTGGCGCACGGACGGCTTTCGGTTTGCCACAGTAAGTCAGCAAAAAAGGGTGTATAAGGGCGATTTGACTCGAACATGTTTAAAGGGTAGATCCAACTAGTAGCAAAATAATTGATATGTCAAGAAGATCTTCAACAATAATGATATGTTTTGCCGTTGAACTATCATGGCTTTGTGTGGTTTTGTGTATATTAACCGGTATGCATATGCATATGCAAAAGCGGAGACATATACATATACAGATACATGTGCGATCATGTGCGTGTACACATACTTGTACATATACATATACACATACATATACATGTACACAGACCTATACACACACATACACATGCATACATTCATACATTCATACATTCATACATTCATACATTCATACATTCATACATTCATACGTTCATACGTTCATACGTTCATACGTTCATACACACATTACAATACAAAACAATTACCTGACTACCTTACGTTATGTTATTTTACGTTATGTTACATTACATTTACATATATCTATGCCATGTTATAAACGTACTTCTCGTCAACCATCAGATGTTGGTTTACCCGAAAATCCCATGGTTCCGCAGCCACTGGCCCACTGGGCGCCACCATCATGGAAAAGGCGCTGGACAAGTGGCAGCTAGGACGCAACCACCGGGGGTTTGATGGTGCTCAATGGTTTGTATTCATTCGGCAAAGGACCAATCCTCAGATTTTTTTGCCCATTTGTATATGCTGTTTCTAGTAAAAACATGTGGATGGTTCATTGATGTGATTGGTTTATAACAGAGCGTAAATACGTGTTCCCTGCAAAGATGCAAACTATCCACTGGCTTTGGGACCATTTGTTCTCACATTTGACAAATGGATAGCATGTCCGGCCAAATGTGGATGTAGGACGTTTACAGCCATCCAACCTGCAAGTTGAACATAGCCTAGGCACTGCAACCAGTCTTCCGTATCATAAATTGTCTTCGTCGGAGGAGTTTTAGGGGGCGTCCAGAAAAAATACCGTGCATGTTAACATGACGTTTTGTACCATGTTGTAATATAATATGTTGTAATTACCCATATGGTCGGATGATCGTACCAGTCGTACTTCCATCAACAGCGCTTTAAGTGGCCATACTCAAGGAATCCCCGTTGGGCTACGGTTTTTGATCCCAGGTATGGAAAACTGAAACATGAGGCGATCAAGTCTCAGCCTCAGTGAGAATCAAAGGATGCATATATATATATTTATACATGTTATATACATTTATATACATACATGTATATATATATATATGTGCATGCATCTATATCTATATATATATATTTATAAATAATATCTATATAATATCTATATAATATCTATATCTATATATATATATGTCGTCTAAGCAACTTGTTGAAACCCAGGCGTTTGGATTCGGCTTGATGCTGAGGATCAAGCGACAAGCCAAGGCTGTTGCGGAGCTTGAAACTCCTTTTGCGACTTGGCCATACTTGGCCACGGCGCCAAGGGAGGAGTGGCGCCCCAAAATGGCTCTGTGTGAAAATGGTTGATGAACCCCGGAACATTGTAAGACAAACCCGACATGGGTGGACTTCAGATGGACCTATATTGACAAACACCTCAGGAACGGGTATACCTTGGTAGGCTTCAAAATTGGAGATTTCTCGAGTAAACACAGGATGGATAGATTCACAGGGCCAATCAGGTGACCAATGGCCCTGAGAACTGCAGATCTTGGACCTTGAAATTGGCGTTGCACCTGAAATGTGCCCGTAATATCCTGTGATGTGCCTAGGTCTCGGTCTCTTTTGTAATAGTTGTTCTGATATGTTTTGAATTGATTCTTTTAACGCAGTCCCCCATCAATGAAGGTGCCACAACTGATCCCAAGGAACGCAATTTGCGTGAGGCCATGGGGTGAGTCGCAGTTGGTGATGCGAAAATGATTCACCACTGGTTGATGATATGTTTCATTGATGTTTATGATGGTTTATGGCTAATGATACCATCATAAATATGATAATAAACCAGTTGTTTATGATGGTTTATGATGGTTTGTGCTTGATGTTAGATACCACTCCGGAAATGGCTGATGATCAGGTAAATAGGAGTGGGTCATGAAATGGCTGGATTCACGACATGTGCCATGGTCAAGACTTGGTTGAATTGTCGTGGGGGACGGTCATCAATCCATTAGTTGGGTTGGTATGCCTAACTATCCCATGGTTGTTGCTTATGTATACATATGCCAACATTTACCCTCTGGTAAATAAACATAGACCCTGAAAATCACCAATTTTTAGAGGAAACTAATCTTCCAACCCCCATCTGCCAGGGTCTATGTTAATTTACTGGAGGGTAATCATATTTACTGTACCCATGTAACTTGATTGCTGTCATCGCAAGGCGACCTCCAACAAGCGCTGGGGGTGCCCGAACAGTGTCAGGGAGCCCAAGTGCTGAAGAGTTGCTGGATTTACACGGATTTACTCCAGTTTTTCGTCGATTCTCTCCACGTTTGCTTTATATAGATCGTTATCACCGTTCTTGCCCTTCTCAGATCCACATTTTTGTTAGTTTTATATGTTTTATTCCAAATCCTTGCTACATTTGTGTCCCACTCCGGGGTTGAATCCCGGGCAAAACGGGCCTACCATCCCTGAGGTGCTCCATGAGATTGCTCTGGATGCGCAGACCTACAAGTATCGACAGCTGCTTGGCGATCCCGCGTGGATCCCGTGGATCGGGATGATGTTTAATACCAAGAAGGGGTTCAGTATAGGGCTGTGAGACATTTAAAACTGGGACCTGTAAATGTATGAAATTTAATCCACATTTGGACAATCTGGTGAGTGACCAGCTAAAGCCACAATGTTCAGCTGACTTTTCTGGGGGGTTCAGCCCCAACAAGGCGACAAAAAACAATTCAGCTGGTAGATGTCCTTTTCCTACTTGTTGGTTGGTTCATAGAGGGTTTGAACCCCCCCTCGCAACCGATAGGTGGCTGAATCCTAGGGTTGGAGGGTGGGGGCTACACATTGTGATCAGCACAAAAGCTTATATATATATACTTTGTAACCTCAAAAGATTGAGAAAAAATCAACTTCACCGGTGTTTTCGCAGCTTTTCATAAGATCACATCTACCACTGCATATATATATATATAATGATATGTTTTTTTTGACCCGGGTTTTACCGCAAATTCGGCACCTTTTGTGGGGTTGGAATGGCCCTTAGGGCGGGCACCCGGGTTTTACCGCAAATTCGGCACCTTTTGTGGGGTTGGAATGGCCCTTAGGGCGGGCACTTCTGGGTTCCAAATTGGCACAACTCTTCAGGAAGATCATGACGCGTGCCTTGGAAAACCTCAACGGGAATCAAGAGAAGCTCGGGGTACCCAGGACCCGAAGGCCTTGAAGTAACACTGGGGATGGCTTTTATGAACTTGGCTTTATGAACACTGTTTTTTTCTACACTAGAAATCTGACTGTTATTTAACTATTGGTAACACGGGCTGGGACATTTTTTGTAAATGTTGGTTGTGGATGGTTGTGGTGAACTCCTGCCAAAATGCTGGAAACATATTTGGTTTCAGATCGAGAATCCAGTCACTTGGTGACTTGGTGTGTTGGATCATGGAGAATCCAGCTGGGGTATGACGCACTGACATGCGGATAAAATTGCTCAGGTGGCAAGGATGCTGGGGGTGCATTTTAAAAGAAATAAGTGGTCCATACGTGCATTTTGAGCAATTTGCATGGCGGATTATTTGATATCCAACCTTCTTTCTACTATATAGTGTGCGTTTTTTCCCAATTTTTTTGATACTTTTTGTCTATAGAGGCTTAGCCATGCCGCAGATGGCAGGTTCCAAATCCTATGAGTTTCACCCCATGGGATCCAAGCACTTCACCTCGGTTTCCCTCTGTTTTGCGCCTCAGGTGGCGCAGAATTCTCAAGACGCTCATCATGCCCGGGGCCCAGCCGGGGGATATACCCAGGGACAAGGCCCACCCCAAGGGATCCAAGGGCCCAAGGCCAGAGCCAGCTTCCATGATAGCTGGGGGGTTTCACCTACCTTTCAGGTTGGAATACTTGATCAAAAACGGTGGAGACAACATCGCAGATGAACTGCATGGAGGCCCAGGTTTGGCGCAGGGGATGAACCTGATGAAACTTTTGTTTCGCAAGGGGGCACGGGATGTTTGGGATGAGGCATGTTTCTTTGCTCGGGGAGTCCCTCAAACACATTTTCGAATGAGTGCAGAAGCTCATCGTTAGTGTACCGTGGTCCTCCTGACTTCAATATCTACTTCTCGGTGTCCAGTAGTCTTTGCAGCCAACTCCAAGGATGTTTTGGAGGCCCTGAATCGAACGCTATGGTCTGCTATGGTTCCTTTCACCCGTACACCCTGCGGGTCCTACAAGTGAAGAAAATGGTCCGCAAGATAACCCAAGATACCCTCTGGTAAACTAACATAGCAATAACATATAGCTATAGAAAATAGCCCATTTATAGATATTTATAGTTGATTTACCTATGCCGTAGCCATTTTGGCTCAAGATGTTTTGGCTCAAGCCCCTCGGCCGCCTCTTTCCGGTCGCGCGTCCGATGGGCTTCGACCCCGTCCTCTTGGGGCTCCGTGGCGCCACCCTGCGCGCCTCCTGCGACGGGGCCACCATCTCCTTCCCCCTGGCTACCTGGCTCACCCTTGGTGGCTCCGTCGGCCCCATCCCTCCCGGCCCCCCTCCCGCTCCCCAGAGCACTCCCCCGCCCCCGCGCTCCCCTACCAGCCCGGACTTCGCGCGCAGCCCTTCCCCCACCCCGCCCTCCTCCCCCCACCGCTCCAGCCTGCCGGTCCAGCTACGCTCTACGGGAGGCCTCCTCCCCCAGCGGTCCTAAAAGAGAATTGAACAGGAGTGAGAGTGGCTCCACCCATCACAGAGCAGAAGCCAAGAAGACGAAAACAGAAGCGTCGCCGATAGAAGATAACTAGAGGCCCAGAAAAGCCAAGACCATGCCCGGGGCAACGCCCGCGGAGGAGGGCCCAGAGAGATAGACGCCAGAGCCGCACCACTCCAGCACCACAGCCTCCCACCTAGGACCCCCGGCGCTTCCCGCCGGCAGGGCGGCCTCTTGTCCGCCCACCCGCCGTCGGTCCCCAAGGTGCGCCCTGCGGGTCCCCCGGGCCTCCTCTTCGGCCTTCTACCCCTTTCGTCCCGAACCCATTCGGGCGCCCCCCCACCCCCTCACCCTTCCGCCGCCTCTAGCCAGGAGGCGCCCCTCCACGCCTGCGCCACCCCTTTCAAGGCAAGCAGGCTCGGGCCCCCCCCTCCACCCGGGAGTGCGCTCTCCTTTACAAGCAGCACCTCCGCCCCCCCTCCCCGCGAGTGTGCGCTCCCTTATACAAGCAAAGCACCTCCGCCCCCTCCCACCAAGGGCCCCCCCCCAAAAAAAAAACCGAAGATCGGGGACAGCCCGGTGCAGCGGCTGCGGCAGCGGCCTTCGTCAGCGGCTTCGCAGCGGCGTCGGCACCGTCTGGCGGAGCCAAACGAGAGCCTCGAGGCCGGACGGGCTGTCAGCCCCTATCCACCCGTGTTAAGACGTTCTTACGGGCGACGCCCCGGCCGCCCCCTCGGCTCAAGCATGGCAACCCGACCCCCTTTTGGCACCCCGCCGCCCCAGCAACCCCACGGGCAATGTCCCATCTGCATGGAACCCGTCCTCACCCCCTGCCCCACCCGCCACCAACCCACGTTTTGGCCTGGCTGCGGACACGCGTACCACCTCTCCTGCATAGCGCGCACGCGCGCCCGCGTCCACCCCTCCACGTGCGCGCTCTGCAGGGCCCCATGGGTCCCTGCCCAAGACCCCGCCCTGTCCGCGGCCTGCAACGATCTTGGCATCAACCCGTACCAAGATTCGGAAAGCGACTGCCCCCGGCCAGGGTCCCCACCACCTCCCCCACCTTCCACTGGCTCCATCCCCCCCTGCCCCCCTGGCAATGCCAGCGCCCCACGCGCCTCCGAGCCAGTGCGCCCGCCACCTCAGTGGCATCACCCAGGGCCACCCCACCAGCCAGTGCGAGCAACAGCCACCTCCTGTGCCGCCTCCCCAGCCGAGCGCAGCCCTCCGCTCCCGGCAGCTCAACCATGGCATCACGCCGGGCCGCCCCAGCAACCCATCCTGGCAGGCGCCAACAGCTGGCTCTACGTTCCACTGCTCCACGCGTCCACTGGCGACCTCGCAGCGGACACGCTCGCCGCCTGGCGCGCAGCGCCACAAGCCATGCCTTGGTGGGACGAAGCGCGCGCCACCCTGGCCGCCGCGCCTCCACAGTCCCCTGAACTGCTCATCGAGGCATTGCGCCAGCACCCAGCCCCTCACGGTGCCGCTGCTGCTGCCGCCCTCACTGCGGCCCGGGCCAGCCTGCCGCGCCCCACGCAAGTCCACCTTGGCTGGCTTGCCGCCAACTGGCAGACCCCACCGGCTACATCCCGGCAGCACCCCAAGAAGTCCTTCTTCAGATTTACGGGGGCTTAGCGCTGGCGGCAGCGCTCGACCAACACTCCAACCGCTTCCGGGTCCCCCCTCTGGCCCCCGTCGCTGCCCCGCCACTGGCGCACCCGCGCCGAGCTCCCGCGGCGCCTTCCACTGGCGCCGTAGTGCCCGTGCCCGACTCCGATGAGGAGCGCGCCTTCACCGGCGAAGGCCCCCCCAGCCCTACCCCCAGCACCATATCCGACGACAGGAGCCAACTCGACAGGCCAGAGCACACGCCCCCGCCCGCGGCTGCTAGCGCCATCCCCGCACGAGCGTGGGCATGGCTGGACTCCCTTGACCTCGCCGCAGAACTGCGGAGGCCGTGCGCTGTCACTCGTTCCCCTCCAGCTTTCCTGCGCGCCCACCTCAGCCGCGCCTTCCTGGTGCCCATGCGCATCCTTACCCAAAGCCGGGCCACGCAGCTCCAACAACAGCGTGCCTGGACCTTGTTCCTGCTCATCCCCCGGCTACTGCTCCACCGCAGCCCGGACCGTGGCGCGGAGGGTCGGGCGGCGCTTCTGCAACGTGCCGCCCACTTCCAAGCGGGTGCATGGGAAAATCTTTACGGCGCCATCCCTCCGGCTGCCCCCCGGCCGGCGTCCCCGGCTCCTGTCAACCCACAAACCCGCCGTCATGCCCAAGCCTGTGCGCAAGTGCGCCAAGGCAACCTATCCCGCGCCAGGCATACTCTCACCAACCCAGCGTTGGCGCCGGGCACTCCCGCCACGTTGGCCGCCCTTAGGGATCCCGATCGCCGCCCCCCTCAACTCCGACGACCAATCCCGGACCACTTGACACGACCGCTGCCAGCCACGCCTCTCCGCCTCACCCCGGCAGAGATTGGCGACGCGCTGCGCACTGCGAAGCGTGGCGCCGCGCCCGGGCTTTCCGGCAGCACCATGGATCACTACAAAGTCCTCCTCGAGGACGAGGAAGCGTTCGCCCACCTCACAGCAATGGTCAATAAATTGGCGAACGCCGATGTGCCCGCGCCTGTCCTCGAAGCCCTCGCCCGGGCGCGGCTAACTGCCCTCACAAAACCTGGGGGCGGTATCCGCGGGATCGCTACTGGAGAAGCCTTCCGCCGGCTGACCTCCAGAGTCCTGGCGCGCCACTTTGCCACCCAGTTCGACCTGGCCACCCGGCCTTTCCAGTTCGCCCTCCAAACCCGCGCCGGCACCGACGCGCTGGCCACCATACTCCGATACTGCACCGACGCCAACCCGGCTGCCACGGTCGTGTGCCTGGACGGCCGCAGCGCATATGACACCGTCTCCCGCGCAGCCGTTTTGGCCAAAGTCCACGAATGCACCCCGGCGCTCCTGCCTTACGTCAAAGCATTCTATGGGGCACAATCCTCCTACTCCTGGTTTGACAACCAGGGGACCGTGCATGACATAGTGCAAGGAGAAGGCCTCGAGCAGGGCGATTCGCTCGCTCCTGCCCTGTTTGCGTTGGCCCAGCATGAAGCTCTGGTCCATGCCTCCCGTACCTTGCCGGCCGGCGACCGTCTTTATGCTTACTTAGATGACATCTGCGTGCTTACCACCAGGGACCACGCCCGGCATGCATACGATGTCGTCTCCCGCGCCATTGAAGGCCACGCGGGCATCGCATCCAACGTTGGCAAAACCCGTGTCTATCACCAGGACCCGGGGCCACCCCCCCCAGGCATAGATCAACTGGGGCCTGACGTGTGGGTGGGAAACCAGCCTCCCGCGCAGCGTGGGTTTGTCGCGTTGGGGGTGCCGATCGGCCACCCGGAGTTCATCGCCTGCCACTTGCAAGCCCGTCTGGCCGCGGAAGCCGAGCTCCTCGAGGAGCTCCCGCGCCTCCCCGACCTGCAAGCGGCCTGGCTCCTCCTCCTGTTCTGCGCCGCACCACGCGCACAACACATCCTCCGTACTGTCCCCCCCTCCCAGTGCTTCGAATACTCCACGGGGCATGACGCGGCCATCTGGGACACCCTTCTGGCCTTGCTTGGGGAACAACGGCCATGCCCCCATTTGGCAGAAGCACGCCGCTTGGCGTTCCTGCCTGGCAGACTTGGTGGCCTCGGCCTTACCAGCGCGGAGCTTTTATCCCCCGCTGCGTATTGGGCCGGATGGACAGACGCGCTGGGCACCCTGCGCCCCCGCGTCCCGGACATCGTCGCCGCCTGCGGCCGGGAGCTGCTCCAAGAGGGCGACCCGCATGCGCCCTGCATCCGAGAACTCGTCGCGGCTGCCGCCCGCCTCGATGCAGCCGGCTGGGCCACCAGGCCAGCTTGGGCCCAACTCCTAGCGGCCCACCCTGTCCCCTCGCCACCGCTACAAGAATCCGAGCCGAGCCTATGGCGCCACGGCTGGCAACACCCCGCAGCTCTCGCTGTCACTACATCCTTCCGAGAGCAAGAGGTGTTCCCGCCCATGACACCGGCGACTCGTGCTTTGGTTCGCTCCCAATCCGGCCCGGCTGCCGGGGCTTGGCTCACCGCCATCCCGACGGAGCCAGCTACCACACTGGCACCCCACCTCATGGCCATCGCCCTCCGGCGCCGCCTCCGGCTCCCCCTGCCGCTCACAACAGCCAGGTGTGGACAAGTGCCAAATACTCACGGCTGTGGCCGCCTCGTCGATCCGTTGGGCGACCACCTGGCCGCCTGCCCTCGAACCGGCGCTCTAGCTCGCCGCGGACACCTCATGGAGCAGGCTTGGATCAAAATTTGCCGTGAAGCAGTTGGGCCAGAGGGCCGCGTGGTCCCCCAACAATGGCTCAACAGAACCACGGCGCCAGGCGTTCCTCCCGAGGACCGGCGCCGGCTCGATCTCGTGGTCCACGGGGCCACCGCCTTGGGCGTGGCTCTATGCTGCGATGTGACAGTCGTCTCGCCCCTCACCAGCACAGGGCGACCTCTCCCCCGCGCGGCAACCCACGACGGGACCGCCTTGCAGCTGGCACGAGCCCGCAAGCACCGTCGGTACCCAGAGCTGCTCCGCGCCGGAGGCCACCGCTTCCTCGTGCTCGGCGCCGAACTCGGCGGCCGCTGGGACCAGGAGTGCCACGATCTCGTGCGCACCCTCCTCGCTGTGCGAGCCCAGCGCGAACCAGCGGCCATCCGGGCAGCCGCCATTTCTGGCTGGCGCCGCCGCTGGTGGGCGGTCCTCGCCTGTGCGCTCCAGCGTGCAACAGCCAGCACGTTGCTGGGCGGGGTGTGGCTGGCTCCGGCTCAAACCACCGGCACCGCGCCCACTTTGGCAGCCGTGCTGGACTGGGCTGACCCTCCAGCCCTCAGCCGCTTGCCGCTGCGCTAGCTGTCTCACCCGTTTCACCCGCTCCCGCGCCACAGAGCCGGGATGGAGGATTGTCGCCGCCATGGGAAGGGATGGTTGGGTTATATTGGGGGAAAAAAAAAGATGGTGATTTTCCATAGCTATGTTATTTTACCAGGGGGTAACCCAAGATAATTTTCACCCACCTATTTTGAAGGTCTTGTGTTGACCTCTTGGGCACCGAGGCGTGGTGAACAGCTGCTGTTCCGACGGCTGTCCAATTTCCAATTCCGGGAAGACGGCCAAGACAGAGGCCAGAGATGGCATGGTTATATTATATATGGTTATATATATATATAATTATATATGGTTATATATTGTTATATATATATGGTTATATATATATGGTTATTATATATGGTTATATATGGTTATATGGTTATATGGTTATATAATGTTATATATATATATATGAGTAGATTATGAGTAGTAAGGAACCCAACATGATATAATATGACCACATACAACCCATGCTCGCGACTTATTGGTCGCCTGGCTTGTTGATCAGAAAGAGGAATCCCAAGCAAGCTGGACCCGCAAAATGCAGAAAGCAAAAGGAGTTTCTTTTCCGTTTTTGGCATTTTTCTGATTTCCGGTTCCCTGCTTCTTCGCTTTTCTGCTTCTCTGCTTTTCCAGATTCTGTGCTTCTCTGCTTTCTGCTTTTCCCTGCTTCTTTGCTTACCTGCTTTTCAGCCTCTCTGCTTTTCTATTTTTTCCCTCATATACTACAGATAATCCTTGAGAAACATCATATAAACAAACCCTAAATCAACCATAAATAACCCCCAAACCAACCAAAGAACCACTAAAACAACACTAAGTAGACCCTAACACTCCCTAAACAGATTTGAACCTAATCCTAAACAAACCTTACACCAGCCCTAAGTAGATCTCAAACCAGACCAGACCTAAATAAATCTTAAACCAACGCTAAACACACCTTAAACCAATCCTGAATAGGTCCCACATCACCTCTAGATAGATCCTAAACCAAGCCTGGATAAACCCTGAACAAACCCTGAACCCGCCCCTAATAGATGCTCACCCAAGCCTTAATAAACCGTAAACCAGCCCGACATAGATTTTAAACCAGGCCTAAATAGATCCTAAACCAACCCTCAACAAACTTCAAACCAACATAAACCAACCTTGCATAGGTCCTAAACCAACCATAAATAGATCCTAAACCGACCCTAAATAAAACCTAAAACACGCCCTAAAAAGATCCTAAACTAACCCATAAAAAACGTAAATAAACCCTAACTCTAAAACCAACCTTAAAAAACTTAAAACCAAACAAAACCCCTAAACTAACCCTAAAACCAACACTAAATGAACCCTAGTTGCAAACTACGATGTTACATGAACAATCCGAGCAACAAAATGTTGCAAATTCCATCGAAAGTGAAAGGTTCGCTTCCAGCTCCAAAATGTTACAAATTCCCCCAAAATGCTGCAAATTCTATGGAAAATGAGAGGTTCCAACTCCAAAATGTAGCAAAGACAATTGAAACGGCAGCTTCCAGGTCCAAAATGCTGCAAATAGCAAGGAAAACGGGCAGAAAAACAGATCCAAAAAAGATCCCAAAACGGAATAAAGTTAATTCCCAAAACAATTCTGGACCCATTCAAAACCTTGATGTCCTTTTCGAACCCCACTAAAAAGCCAAGGCTAGCCTTCCCAGGTTTTATCAAAAGTATCACCCTCGCACAACACTGTCAGATGGAACCACGCATGCACATTACATACGTTTATGTAATGGACCTAAGATTTGATGTGGCAGAACCTGTTGAACAGAATCCAGGATGCCTGAATGCCAGGCAGCGGCGTGAGAGAAAAGGCGGACACTCTCGTCAAGTTGCTGAATGACAAGGCGCCAAACAATTTCTCTATTTGCCAGCCATCCTGTAGATCTGAACCAAAATTCCAAATGCCTAAAGGGAAGATGTTGCAAGATCCAGCGGGTCGCGTGTTTGCGATGGGGCGCGCTTCTGTTTTCACACTGTATGAAATTATACATGTGTAATATGCATATTCACGTGTATGCATATGTATAGAATTGTATAGACATGTGTATATTCGAATTTCCATTTCCAAACTCATCTCCCCATTGTGGATTTGCAAGTCACTTTTTTTGGGGTTTTCTGAGGAGTTCCTGAAAGCCGAGCGGGAGCAGGTCGGATGCCAAGCGGTGTAGGCGTTTCAAGGCGTTTCCTGTGGCTTTTTAACTGCATCAAGATCGACGCACCCTTTGAGACGGCAATATGATACATTCTGTCTATACATATATGTACCACACGCATATATATATATATATGCATAGGCACCATTTATCACGGCATTGGCTACAATTACAACTCTTACATTTTGTGTATATATATATATTTGACATATATTTTGCTCTACCTAATATGGCACTGTGTTGTATATTCAACTTCCCCATATGCTTTGCACGCCATACTCGATCATTGAAACTTCGGCATCCGAGGCGAAAATGCACCACAGCAAGCTGACCAACCAGGGTCCAACAGCCATTGGAGGTGGTTGGGGCTCCGAAATTCGCCTTGGGGAAGGCCCAGCAAACCTAGCGCCACATAGCCAGTCCGATGGTGCAATTGAATTCGTGCCTGGTGAAGGTAAACCCTTCAAGAATACACGTTCAACAAGCTGCGCATAGATGCGCATAGGGATTCACGGTAGTATGAAATAATGTAATTTACTGTAATATAGTTCAATATAAAATACTGCAATCCAATCTAATATATCGAATAGAATGTAATAGTACGGTTATCATATAGTACAATAAAACCACATTTTTTTGTGTGATTATCACTTGATATGAATGTCATGGCTCATTGCCACCAACTACCCAGCCACCAGATCTGACCTCTGCCATGATCTCACGATGGATGAGGCCGTAAGAGTCCCACCAAAGAAGCCTCGACCTCCGCAAATGTCATCAGCAGCGCGATCAATGAAGCACTCAATGAGTCAATTGCACCAATTCCCGGGAGGTGAAGTGGGAGGTACCCTGGGCTAAGCCAACATAGCTGTGGAAAACCAATGGTTTTCCGATCTACAAATAGTGGATTTTCCACATGTTAGTTTAGGGATGTTTAGGGATGTTTAGGGCTAGGGAAATATAGGGACAAAGGTTTACATACCCGAAGTGCCGGTACGTGGATGTTGCATCCGGGCGAGTGACAGCTCATCACGTCGAAGCCTTTCATCCGAGATGTGCCATTTTGTGGCAAAGCATCACAAGCTGGAGGCCCCCCAGCCATTCATGTATAGGATATTCTCATATATTCTCCATTTTTCATGGCTTATATGATTTTTTTTGGATTGTCCACATATTCATTGGTTGTATCATCCACCATGTTTCAGTGGCTCCACCTCCCCTTGCTTGGTGAATACCGACCTTTTTACTGGACGTGTCCTCGAAAAAATGATGATCCATGGGGCCAGGACGACGAATGGCGATCTCCATCCCGCTGGTGAAATCCACCCAATCCAATACCTAGGTGATCCAGTGAATGTAGATTAATATGATAAATACAGTTGATTTTGAATGATATTTGTTTTTTTGATCAGGAAAAAAAACCTATGAGCAAACGCTGATTTTCCACCCTTGTTTCCCAGAATTGATGTCAACATTTACAGGAGGCCTTGGGATTGCTTGGGGGTAAATGCCACGATTCATTCCCCTCCAATCATATTCAATCTATTGACTAACACAACTTTCCGGGTTGTTTAATATTGTTTAATGAGGTCCCGCAAAGTACCCTCTGGTAATTTAACATAACTTCGATCTACCCCCCGCCCAGTAACAGCAGATAAATGATTTTCCTTTAACCTACCCTTTCAAAACGAGCACAAGGAAATTGCTCCAAAAATCTCGGCTAGGAGGTGCCCAAAAAAAACGTCAACCTGCCCTCCAAACCTCTGATACAGAATTCAGAATTCAAGACAGGGGCTTCACTTTCAAGATCTTTCAAGCATATCAGTTGCATTCCAACATTGAGAAAAGAAGAGCGCAGACTACAGACAATACATTCATGTGTTACCCTGAGAAGGTGCGAGCAAGGCGTCTGCATCGAAGCAAGGACTAGAACATATTGTGAAAGGATTTGGCCGCTTGATGCAACTGGCACAATGCACCGTAATGTGCTCAACCATGGAGTCAGATTGGCCATGTGGGAAAATGGAAATGTTATATACTTGGCATCCATCCTAAACTTTAAATTCTAAACCCCGAGCCCATTCGAACCCTAAATCGCAAAACTTCATTGACGCGTAAGTACCAACCGCCAAAACCAGCACAAGCTAGACACAAAAAGAGCACAAAAAAACACAAAACATTAAAAAACACAGAAAAAAGCACAAAAAAGCATCAAAAAAAGCACCAAAAAAAGCACCAAAAAAAGCACAAAAAAAGCACAAAAAAAAGCACAAAAAAAGCACAAAAAAAGCACAAGGAGACTGCAAAAATAATTGCGAAAAAAATGAAAAAAACTAGGGACCACAAGAAAAGCACAATTTGAGCACCAGCCGAGCACAATTTGAGCACCAGCCGAGCACAATTTGAGCACCAGCCGAGCACAATTTGAGCACCAGCCGAGCACAATTTGAGCACCAGCCGAGCACAATTTGAGCACCAGCACGAGCACCAGCCGAGCACAATTTGAGCACCAGCCGAGCACAATTTGAGCACCAGCCGAGCACAATTTGAGCACCAGCCGAGCACAATTTGAGCACCAGCCGAGCACAATTTGAGCACCAGCCGAGCACAATTTGAGCACCAGCCGAGCACAATTTGAGCACCAGCCGAGCACAATTTGAGCACCAGCCGAGCACAATTTGAGCACCAGCCGAGCACAATTTGAGCACCAGCCGAGCACAATTTGAGCACCCTGGGCAAATCAGAAATGACCAAAAATCAATGCAAAGCAGCTGAGGGACCAGAAGAAAAGCACAATTTGAGCACCAGCCGAGCACAATTTGAGCACCAGCGGAGCACAATTTGAGCACCTTTGAGCACCAAGCACAATTTGAGCACCAGCCGAGCACAATTTGAGCACCAGCCGAGCACAATTTGAGCACCAGCCAAATTTGAGCACCAATTTGAGCACCAGCCGAGCACAATTTGAGCACCAGCCGAGCACAATTTGAGCACCAAGCACAATGCTGAGGGACCAGAAGAAAAGCACAATTCGAGCACCAGCCGAGCACAATTCGAGCACCAGCCGAGCACAATTTGAGCACCAGCCGAGCACAATTTGAGCACCAGCCGAGCACAATTTGAGCACCAGCGGAGCACAATTTGAGCACCAGCCGAGCACAATTTGAGCACCAGCCGAGCACCTTTGAGGCAGCAATCAGAAATGACCAAAAATCAATGCAAAGCAGCTGAGGGACCAGAAGAAAAGCACAATTCGAGCACCAGCCGAGCACAATTCGAGCACCAGCCGAGCACAATTTGAGCACCAGCGAGCACAATTTGAGCACCAGCCGAGCACAATTTGAGCACCAGCCGAGCACAATTCGAGCACCAGCCGAGCACAATTTGAGCACCAGCCGAGAGCACCAATTTGAGCACCAGCCGAGCACAATTTGAGCACCAGCCGAGCACAATTTGAGCACCAGCCGAACACAATTTGAGCACCAGCCGAGCACAATTTGAGCACCAGCCGAGCACAATTTGAGCGCCAGCCGAGCACAAAAAACCGAAAACAGGAAAACCAAAAAAGTCAACTGCGCCAGCCCCAGCCCCAGCCCCAGCGCCAGGCCCAGCCGCAGCCCCAGCGCCCCCAGGCCCAACCCAACCACCCCAGCCCCCAGCAGCCAAGCCCAGCCCCAGGCCCAGCCCCAACCCCCCACCCTTACGTTTGGTGGGGTTGTTGTGGTGGTGGTGGTGCTGCTGCTGCTGCCGCTGCTGGTACTGCTGGTTGTGGTGGTCGTGGTGGTGCTGTCGCTGGTGGGGGGCGGTTGTTGTTATTGTTGCTAGTTGTCACATTGCTAAGGTTGTCGTAGTTACTAAGAATTGCTAAGGTTTCCAACGGAATGTTGGTGATAAGTTGGCCAGTTCCTAGCAAATCTGTAGCAGCCAGAGCCGAAGAAGAGAGAAACAGACACCTGTGCAGCTTGATTCCTTCCGATTCACATGAAACATTTTTTCAACCATTTGATGATTTACATATTCATGGTGTCTACCTGATCCATTGTTTGGTTTTAGTATAAGAATTTATCCGTATCATATCACCAGATTAGACCCTTATTTTCTGCATTTGGCTGGTGCTCATTTTGTGCCCCTGGCTTGTGCTCACTGTTACTGCCCCGGGGGTAGATCAAAAACATAACTATGGAATATCACCATTTTTAATGGGAAAATCCACTATAAATAGTCATTTTCAATAGCAAACTGTTAGTTTACCAGAGGGTAACTGGTCATCACTGGCTTTGGGGGCCCTATGAACCCAGGGTGGACTCGTCAGGTCCTCGTCTCCGAAGCTGGCACCCGAGGTTCCGGCCCGGCGTGGGCGTGGGCGATTCGAAGAGCCTCTCGAGTTCACAGGCGGCGGAGCTGGAACGGCGCTTCAACAGGTCAGTCTGGGGGTCTGGGGGGGAAGTTGGGAAGTTGGCCCAGGGGAAGTCCAGATTTCTGAGTTTTTTTCTGAACATTTGGGATATTTTTAGAAAGCGCGGGGGATATGAGTGGGGAACGGGAATGGGGATGTTATTGGATTCATGGGCATCAACACGGGCTCGTTTGGAAAGCAAGACTCCGCCAGTCAGGGGGGAACAGATGTCAATCGGAATCTATTCATTCTTGGTGGTGTGATATGATGTGATACAGGGGAATAATGGCTTTATATAAATCATCCTTATTGTCCAAAATGGTTTGCCGGAAAATTGTGGGACGACTCCAACAGCCCATGGGTGCAAGCCTTGTCCGAAATCGAACATGGCCACAATTTTGGGTACCAACCTTTTTGGACAGACTTCAGGTTGAAGGGGTGAAGATGCAGACATTTGGTGAACAGATTGGTAAGAAAAGGCATGTTATTGTTTCATGAGATTGAAGTTTTCCAATCATCTTTGAAGACCAACGAGTTGCAGATAATTTTCCCACAAAAACCATCCGGGGATCGGACGAAGGAAACCCGGAACTGGAACTGCTACATTTGATCGAAGAAGCAATGGACAACAACGGCTTCTTGTAGATTTCCCATGGTTTCCCCTTCATCCAATCCATTGCATATTTGTTGATTGACTAGCTATTTCAGATGGTTACAAACCTATTTTGATGGTTAATTCCACCATTTCTTGCTTGTCAAATTGTTAAATGATGTTAAATGGCTATTGTAAGACGTGAAAACTCAACCAAAATGCCAGGGAAGTCCATCACGACCGGCGCAGGCTGAAGGGGGAACAAATGGCTGAGCGGGCTGCCAAGGAAAACGTCAACCGACTGGAGGCTGCTGGGCCTTGCCGATGTCCTTTGCAAGGAAGTAACGAGATGGTGAATTTAGGTGGGATGAACTGATAGATGAACGGATATTGATACAACATATACAATCATATACAACAATAAACATCAATAAACATCAATAAACATCAATAAACATTAGTGACATCTGACATATGTTGATTATGTTGATTATGTTGTGAAGAAATATTGGCATGCCATGCCGGCTGCCATTTCCACAGGAAAGGGGTCGGAGCTCTCGCTCTCCCAGACCCACCTCGCCGGAGGACGCAGAGAAAAAGCTCTGCAGCCACTGTTTCAGATGAATTCAGATGAGAATAATGTGGTAAACACTGGTAAACCCAATAGTTAGTGGGATATAGACTAGATATAGACTGGATATATGGTAGATTAATTGGAAAATATTAGGATTAATCTGGGAGAAGAGCGGGAGAATCATGGATAGTTATGGGATAACTATAGTAATTAGTAAACCATCCCCAATAGAGGTTGATTGGGTTTACCCGGTTACCCCGTTCGCAATGGGATGATTCGTATCATTCTACCGATTCTACCCATCCACCCATCCACTGAAGCTGTGCAGGACGTGCCCAAAGAAGACAAGCAACTGGCACTTCTTTCAGCAGTCTGATTTTTTTTTGGGAAAAAATAAGAGTCATCCTAAAGATACCCATCCCGATGAGATTGTGTACCCAAAACTGGGCCCTCAAAATGAAGACATCAGATGACACATCCAACACTAAACCAAGGTTTCGACTGGGTTTCGACTAAATTAGGAGGGATTGGCCACAAAGGTAGCCGTTGGTCTGTTGGTGGCCAATCTTAGGGAGAGATTCATCCAGGCTTTGGGGATGATCATCGGTCAGGAATGTGGTGTTTGACAATGGTGCCCCAATAGCTGGATGGTTTTGGATGGTTTATTTATGTTAAAAAACATGGAACATCTCAAAAATGGATGATTTAGGGGTAGCCCTACTTTAGGACACCCTGAAACCTCAACGGCGGGCCCAGGTATGGCCTGTTTGATCCCAGCTTTGCACTGCGAGACATGCGGGACGCCGGGGGACGCCGGGGGTTGGCGGCAGCGAGTAGGCTCCACACTTATATAATATATATACCCTCTGGTTATTTAACATAGCCATGGTATAGATGGCCCATTTATAGATGGTTTACCTATTAAACATGGTGATTTTCCATGGCTATGTTGAATAACCAGATGGTATATATATATAACTGGACCCTACTCTTGCCTATACAAAAACAGCATAGCTGTGAGTAAAAATTCGCATTTATGCCATTTACATCAATTTACTATGTTATTTTGACCTATTTTGGGGCCCCAAAATCGCTGGGAGTTTCTGGATTGAAGCTGAGAACATGGCCACCAGCCCAGTAAACGCTTCTTGTACATCCCAGTAACTTGAAACCTAGTAAAGTAGGGATTGAAAAAGCAATTTGAAACTGCGTTATGCGTTATGGATGTTTGGCAAGAATGTACGGTAGTTGGAAGCATTCTTGTGGAGCGATGAACGGGTCACTATGCCGATCGTTTACTGCAAAGTTGCGCGAAGTTGCACATGAAGCTCTGACGACCATGAGCCGTGAAAGGTATGAAAGGTATGGAAGGTATAATTGGGTATGGGTCAATACCTATAGATACATTACTATAGTGGGATGAACATCCATTTTAACCCAGCTATGACTTGGGGTGAACAAAAGGTACCAGGGTTTTGACCCATCCCCAATTGACTGGACAGCTCCATCGCGATTTGCAGGGTCGAACATTTTACCCAGGGAGTTCATCACATGAAAAGATCCCTCGAGTCGGTTCATGGACTGCAATCCCCTTGTGGCTCTATATTTTGCAACCCAGCACTTCGGATCGGGGAGGAACATGTTTCATACACCCTTCATTTTCACGAAGTGAAACAGTGAACCATGGGATTTTTGGTTAGCTCCGGGTAGTTCCTGGATGAATCCCTGGAGGACGACTCCGATTCCGACCGGAGCCAAGGTGGACGGTGGTCGAGGAATGTGCAAATCTGGAATGGTACCCTAGTCCTACTTGAGAGCACATAGAAGCACGTTCTCTTTTCACCCGGGACGTTTTTGGAAACTTCCTGGAAATAATTGCAAGTTAGGTTTTTTTTTTCTCCGGTCCTGGTTGAACAAGTGACCGTTTTCCTTTGCAGGGATTTTCGTGGAGGAATTCGGTATGAACAATCCATTGACCCAAGGATGATCAATGTATTGATCATGTAAAGCTCGGACCGTCGCAGGCAGAATCAGGATATCCTGGTTGTAATTCAACTACTGTAGGGTTTGTCTGAGAACTCACCCGCATTCCACGGTTTATCATCATGTTTCCCCTGAAAAGGGCCAAAAGTTGGGGGTACTTGGGGGTGCATCCCACTTCGTAAATGGGCTCTACCCCGTTATATCAATGGGAATTTTAGGACCCTAAAATGGAGGTACTGTACCATATAAGGCCATATTTTGTGGGGATATCCCCTTACATAGGCCTTATATGGGCCTTATATGGTACAGTACCTCCATTTTAGGATCCTGAAATTCCCATTGATTATATGGAATATGTGAATATGTGGAATGTCCCCAGTTGCACATGTGTTATCATGGGTCATAAACCACTTACTTGGATGCACATCCGGGTCGCCTTTGAAAGTTTTGGTTGGCCCAACTTGGGGTCAGGCGCTCCACGGGGCCGCGGCTCCAGTAGCAAGGTGCTACCTAAGATCTGGGACGTGGGTTTCATTCGGGGTACCCCCTTATCGCTGGATGGTTTATTTCATGGACGACCCCAACAAAAAATGGATGAGAACTGGGGGTAGCCTATTTTAGGAATCCCATGGACATGGGGATATGTGGATCTACAAAGTCAACAAAATCCAACAAGATATGATAATATTTGCTGGAATAGATTGGGGTATACAACCAGTATGATATCATATCATATCACACACACACACACATATATATATATATATATATATATCGGTGTGTGCCCAGAAACGGGCCATACCCCAAAGTTATAAGCATTTCCTGGAGAAAGTGAGGCTATGAAGCGCTGGATTTTGGGGAAACGAAATTTGAGCAACCTCATTTGGGGAACTAGCTATGGAAGGGGGCCCTTGATGTGGAGATGATCCCTGAAACGGATGGTGAACTGGGGATTCACATCCCTCACCCCTCCAGTGACATCCATCTTCACTCCCTGAACCCTTCAGGGCATGGAGGCTGCACCGGCAAACATCGACTTGCTTGACATGGATGATGAACCTGCCAGGCTGGGCCACGGCCGAGAGCCTCCATCTTTTAAGAGGAAAGATCTCTTAATGATAGTTGACATTCATGCTACTTTTTTTTAAAGCCATCGATGGAAGATGCTACCATTTTGAGATACAAACACTCTATAGGCAAGCTGAGGGTTTATACAAATAGATACATAAAATAACAAACAAACAAATACATAAATACGTAAATAAATAAGTGAATAAACGGAGAGAGAGAGAGAGATATATATATATGCTAGCACATCTCTCTCTCTCTATATATATATACACAGATATGCAGGCACACACACTTGATCAGAACTGTCGTTGCGAATTTTGCTGTGGAATGCATCGGACGTGCAAAAACACCAACAACAACATAACATGATGAGATGATCCTATATATATATACATATGTAAATCACAGTAGACGTTGACCGTATAAAACAACAGCGATAAAACATATGTACCCCCCAGCTGCGACTTAAAACTTAGATGCGCCCAGGGGCGGGACTATACTATATATAAAATATAATGCAGGTACGTTTTCACAGGAACATTGCAGCGTCTTCGTTGGCCGCTGACTGCAATGTTCCCCAGCGGCCCCCTGCAGTAATAATTAATAAGTTTTACATCTATTCGGATGGTACACACACGCGCAGATATATAATGATATTTAACTACATATATATATATCTATATATATGTGTGTGTGTGCATATAGGTGCTTTTTCCGGGCATTCTGGGCACATTTGATAGCAACAAAACAGACAGACCAGCCGCCACAAGCGCCAATGTTTCAGGTTTGGGAATTCATGTAGTACAAATTTGTCTAGACATGTTTGAATCATGGTGATTTAATGGATATTAATGGGAAAATATGCAAATGGTGATTTAATGGGATATTTTTGAATGGCTCTACCGTAAATCATCTGCATGGCATTGGATCCTCGCGTGCATTCTGAACATATGCCTCCATTTTGAGCCCTACGTTGGTCCGGGAAACACACATATCACTATCTAATTGGTGAACAGTGGGGGGCCTTGCCAGCTGAATATTCGCGCAGAACACCTAGGATGCAGCCTGTGGAAATGATAACATACCAAGAGCTTGCAGGTCTTGCAGGATGATATGGGGTGTCCTTATTTACAGCTTTGGATTCAAAAAACTGAGGACTTGTCAGTTTTCGATTTTGCAATGGTGGATTTCGCATGTTCATTGCTCATTGATCCGAGATCAATGCATAATCAATCAGTAGAAGCACATGCTAAAACAGGCCTTCCGAAGTGTCCATTTGTAGATGGTCCCCGCTGATTGCTACAAAATCAAAGAGAGAAAGTGACGGAGCTTGCATCTGCGGCTCTAGCAAAATTCTTGGAAAACCAACGCCAGTTTCCTGCGATTGTCGCCGAGTGCCGCCAATGATTCAACGGAGGTTTTTTTTTCCCGAAGGGCCGAAAGTTGATGGATCCTGGATACTGTTCATTCCTATCCGCCTGTGTGATTTTCAACTCCCCGTTTCTTGACTTATCCACAGTTTTTTACGATTTATTCATGATTTTCAATATCTTTGGAACGACAATATTTCCTACCAGCTGTCACACCTGCGGCAGGGCGGGCCCCTCGCCTGCGGCTGGGTCCTCGGCAGTAAGCTCAGCACAATGGGATTCACTGGTCAGTTTGGAGATTCTCTGGGCAATCCGAGCTGAAATTCTCACATATTATTTTTCCATGATTTTGTTGCGGAACAATCTTGGACAAACCATATTTTTCCCATCATTTGATCTAGTTTCTCGGTGAAGTGCCGTCATTTCTCCATGATTTCACCATCACCCCGCCAAGTCGGCGGATGACTGGGCGGAGTTCTGCACGCCAGCCTCTTCTTCCACCCCTTCGGCGCCACGTCGCTGGGATGGGAACTTGTAACGACTGGTGGTGAAAATCCCTGTGTAAACCCTTTATTCAGGAGGATAAGATGGGGTAAGTAGATGTAAGTAGGGACTTAGTCGGTTAGTCCAGTTGTTTCACTGGGGTGATTTTTACCTTGCTAGCTGGGGTGACGCGCCAAGAAGATGGATAGCTGGTGATTTGAGAAATGGTTGAAATGTCTGATGGGAAGATTCCAAGAGTTGAGTTGGTGCATATATTTCATGGTTTTTCTGGTGGTGTTTTTCTTCCACCTGACTGGCGGATTTCCAGGACATTGACCATGCTCAAAACCCCAGATATCGCCTGGGGGTGGATCCACCAGGTTTCTAGGGGTCAACCCCGGGATCGAAGCTCGGTAATGTTTTTTCCTCCCTGAACATTAATAGAAAACAAAAGAAACACCTGAAATCCGACGATTTGACATCCCAACTTTCTGGTTTTTCACATGGTCCAAGTGATGCATGGTCACGGCCTCGAATGTGCACGCGCATGTCTGTCTCGCGTGTGCACGCGCGCGCTGGTCTCGCGTGTGCACGCGCGCGGCTCTCATGTATCAAATTTCGTGCACCTGTCAATCAAAATTTTCTGTCTAAGTTGCTAGATGACATTTCACAGAGAACGCGAACATGGTTCTGGTCAGGGGGCAGTCACACCGGTGCAGAAGACTGTCCTCAAGAAGAAGATGCCTGTAGAGCGCCTTGACAGTTGTTCGGGGTGGACAGTGTGCGTCCCAGGCCCAAGCCCAAGGAAGCCTGTTCAGCTTCAGGCTCAAAGGCGGGTTGATTTCAGCCATGTCATGGTGGTGGCCGGGTGTTCCCCTCCTATTAACGACCATCCAGATACCATCCAGCTTCCAGGTTCTTTACAGTTTCTTTGTTGCGCCATACTTGAGCTGTGACATGTTTGCTGCAGTGGACGGGTTCTTGCTGGGTAAGACAGGAAAGCGATAAATTCGCAATAAAGACTTGTGCACAGAAATAAGATGAAATAAGCAAATAAGATATACTTCTGCAGCCCTTGTTGCGATAGGTACCGATGCCCCCTGCGTACCCACCTCCGCAACGCACGGTTCGTGCGCCTTTGCCGAAGGGGGGCGCGTTGCTGCCACCTCCTCCCCCGCCACCGGCGGCGGCGGCGGTGCCATTGCCACCTCCGCCACTGCCGCCGCAAATGCACCAGGCTGTTCGAATGATTTGCGCAGCGTGTGATATTCATGATATATCCATGATATATTTATGATTTGAGAAGCTTTGAGCATGCTTTGAGCATAAGGTACATGAGTTGCACATGAACTGTTAATTATTTTTCAAAAGTTCAAATAGTGATGCACTACGAGGAAGTACCAGTATGTTGCTTTCGCATGAGCTTCTCATATGCTCTCATGTTTTCACAGTGGTATAGTGTTCTCGTTCATCCTTTGCATAGCTCTTCATGTGACCGTGTCGGCTTAGGAGGCCCGTAGCTAGGGCAATTTGCTCGGCCACAGGGATTTTGAAGAGCTATTCTATCCTTGCTGCATGTGCCTGTGGTTGGTTTGCTGCCTGCACTTTTGTGACCGCGGCAGGCGTGGACATCGCAGTCAATGGGAACGCTTCCAGTGTAACACTCAGCGTGCAGTTGCTCTGACCCCACCCAGGATAGTTGCAAGTTTTCAATAAGTTTTGGGCTGTTCAAACGTTGATAGATCACTGCACTTGCCATGCACTTATCCAGTGTAAATGTTATTGGAATGTGCTTCAAATTTTGTTCGACGTTCGTTTGTGCAATCTCAGCGTGATTTGGTCACAAGGTGGTGCAAAGAACATTCCCACCATGGGGCGCTCCGCCCAGTCATGGACTGAGGATGACAGCAGTCCTGCTGCCGTCTTTGTGACAGCTTTGTGATCATTTTCCAACATGTGTCATGTCATTGTCATGTCCTGGACTTTCATGTCAATGTGGGCTTTTCCGTTTTCAATGGGTATGCCTGATATTTGCACTGCATTTTGATACAATGCATGTATAACGTTTTAGATGACATCGCTGTTATCCAGTGCCGAGGCCTGACCCGGGCAAAGTTCCTCCTGGCTACAACGCTGGTAGAGTGATATCATAATGCATCCATTTGTTGATGATTGCTATATATAATTGAAGAGCAGGAGCCGGAAAATAGAAGACGTCCTCCCTATTGTCCGGATTTGGGCTGCCAAGCCCCTTTTTGAAGGATCTGGGCCGCTGAGCGGCCAAAAAGGGGGAGCTTGAAAACACCAGCGGTCCTCCCTGTTGTCCAGATTTGGGCTGGGCCGCTGAGCGGCCAAAAAGGGGTCCAGAGGCTTGACAATCATCACGGGGAGCACAGCCAATGGTGACCATCATGGTCATCATGGCCACCACCACCACCACCACCATCGTCGTCGTCGTCATCATCATCATCACCATCATCATCATCATCATCATCATCGCGTAGCATGCATGTGCGAGTGCAAGAGAAGATCTCATGGCGTAGCATATGTGTGCAATTACAAGAGAAGATCTAAGAGCGGTAGGATATAGTCCCGGTGCCTAAAGCCAAAGGATGTTATTGACCCCACCCCACCCGATCCCACCCCCAGGCCGGAGCCAGAAGAAGATCTGATAGCGTGGCATCATGTCGGTGTGCAAGTACAGAGGAAGAGCTGATAGCGTAGCAAATGTGTGCAAGTAGAAGAGAAAGTCTCATAGCGTGAGGATAGAGTCCTGGTGCCTAGAGCCCAAGGACGTTATCGTGCCTTGAACCCAAGGACGTTATCACACCCCACCCCACTCCACCCCACCCGAGCCTTGCGCGTGCGCACGTGAGACTCAAGAAGGGGGGGGTGTTTGCGCGTGCGCATGTGAACCAAAAAACGCGTGCGCGGTTGAGGCCCAGACTGTGATGCATTTACCTGCAAACTAGATGAAAATAGTCATCGGGTGCGGTGTGTCAAATGTTTATTGCTTTTCAAACATACTTGGGATGATTGGTTGAGATGACCAACATGATCCAACGTGTTGGATGAGCCAAAAAACATCAACCAGTCATCAACTAGCCATGGCACAAAGCGGATGCTCAGGTTTTCAAGCCCCACCACCAGCCACCTCAGCTACCTCAGCAAGTCCCAATAATCTGATGGCGTCCTGGCAATGGGAGACCCCAGATACCTCCCAGATCTCGGTCGGAGATTTCCCGGATTTTACCGGTATAAAATGGGGACAATTACGTGTTTCAAACGGTTTTTTTTTGGGTATAAATCGAACATATTGATCCTAATTCGGGGGAATTGTTGTGAGTATCATTGCGTTTGCAACTTGTAAAAGGCACCTACAAATTTCACCGTGTTTGCCCAGTTTGGTTTGGAGATTGTAAACATCATTGTTTTTTTTCATGGTGTGAACATATCTAACGACAGGTGAAACAGGTCATATGTTTGTGAAGGTATGAAGGGCCTCCTTGGGTCACACAGCCAGCCTCTTTCACGTAATATGTTATTTTGCAAGGGTGTAGATCGCTGAAAGGAAAAATGTATCCAAGCAGGCACCACTGTTCCTGGCCAAATCCTGAATTCCTGCTTTCCTGCTTTCCAAAGACACATGGCTGAAATAAAACTGTTTTTTTCCCAACAAGGAGTCTAAGAGTTCTTTTTCGGCAATCAGACTGGAATTTCCACTAATTTCCCCCAACGTCGGAGATATTTCTCTCAGATCGCTGAGTGTCAGGAAACTCAGAATGTTATGCCTTGCAACTTGGAATTTTGCACCTTTTTGACGACAAAGCTGCCGAGGACTTCGTTGATGGACCTTCGCCAAGTCCTCCGCAACCCAGTTCCCTGGCCTCAGTGGGAAAGGAAGAGGGGTTTAGATCCAAGTATCGAGGGCTTATGACACCCCTAACAAAAGGCTGGTTGATGGCTGATGGTTTCATTTTTGTATATTTTCATTATTTTTGTCACTTTTTATGGGATGATGATCCTCATTGACCGGCGTTTTTTTCTCAGATCCGAAGTTCGCCCAAGTTGGCTTTCCCATCTGACCTCAGCCATCCGTCCAGCGCTGCGGAAGGCTCGGACTTTGGCGCCAACTTCACCTCCTTCGACAGCCCGGGCAATTTCTTTGAGGCGGAGTTCCAGTCGGCGCCCAGCACCTCGGAGAGCTAGAAGGAGGGCTTTTCGGGTGATGGGCGTTGCATGTAAGCAAAAGGAACAAAAACCAATGACACTTAATGTCTTAATGAAATAACAACCATTTGAATATGTTTGAATCATTTGATAGACTGTTGAAAGGGGGCAGGTAGTGTAAATCCCACTGGGTGGCCCGGCATCATACCGGATGGCAATTCAGGTACAGCAGGAAGCGGCCCCTGGAACATGGGAGGCGGAGGCAGCCACATGGGGCGGGTGCGGCATCCAACTTTTAGTAGGCCTCGAAGCCAAAATGCTCTCAAAATTCGGGGATGGGGCAAGAACTATGATGATACATGATGATACTTGTACCATAGTTATTTAAAAATCAATGTCCACATTTTCCCAATCATTGGCTAGCAGGAGATAGCTTCAAAGTCAACAAACAAGTTCCAGATGTTCCAAGTTTTTATTGAGATTCACTAACTTACTGATAGGCTTTTGATCAATGAATATCTTTAAAATCAGCCTGCCAGGCCCAGGCGTAAGCCCAGACAGAAATCACCTGTGACAGCCTGAGTTGTGGTGGACCTCAAGGATTGAAACCACCGACCAGACCCAGACTAAGTAGTTCACATCCTCACCGTTCTGCACTGGTGATTCGCAGCCTCAAAAAGAACTCAGTTCGTGTGGTTCTGGTTTCAGCTCGGGGATGCGTTCTGAGTCTGGAGCATTTGAACATTTCTGTGTATATGTATATATATTTATTTATTTATAGAGGACACATAATACCATGGTTATTATTAAGTAGTCATATATTGCAGGTAGGTGTCTATATATAAGTTGCCCCCTCAAGATGGGATGGTTTCTATACTGCAGCAACTGACCAGGACCATACTGTGAGGTCTGGTTACTCGCAGCCACAGCCGCAGCAACCCATGTATTCCACCAGCACAGAAGGTCTGGTCCATGGGTCCATGACCTGATTCTGCTCTCGGGATAGCACGAAGAATTCAAGGTTCAAGCGTTTCAAAGCATGACGTATTCTGGAATCTGGATGTGAGAGTCAGTGAGATTCCAAGTGCCCATGTTGAAGCATCCAGTATTGTTGGGTCAGCCATTTGGAACATCATAAAACATCATTAGACCACACCAAACCAGCAATAGCCACACTATTCAACCACCATTCAACCACCATTAAGTCCCACTCAACCACTATGAAATCTCCATTCAACCACCATTTTTCGCACTAAACAAAGCTGTGTAGCCGTCGCCGGCTCCGACGTTTGGCAGGTCCCACCTTCTCAGGCACCTTCCTGGATGGTCCGGGTCCTCAATTTACCATGGATTTTTGGGTGCAGGAACTGAAGTTGTTGTTGTTTTTTTTAAGGGTTATATAATATGGGGGGTTCCTAAAATGGGAGTACCCCAATAGCTGGATGGTTGATAAATGTAATGGACAATCCAATGAAAATGGATGATTCTGAAGTTGTTGGTGAATCAAATTATAAATATAAATGCATATGATGCACACAAAAATGTGAGAAGGGCCCTCAACTTCTCCAACCCCCTCTGCCCGATTTCAGGGTGGGAAAAACAAAACTCCCAAGCGCACCGCTGACTTTGGCCATGATTCAGCGAGGCATGGGTGCAGGGGCGGCCGACATGTGCAACCTGCAGATCTCTGACAATGTCAAGGCGTGTTGCGAAGCTCAGTGACCTGTGTTCGATGTTGCTGTTCGAATCGACCAACATCTTTCATCATCCTGGTATTGTTTTCTCTGTATGTGCTTGATGTTAAAGGCTCCCTGAATCATCTTCCATTGGTGGTAGCAGGTAGAGAATTTCCAGGCGAAGTCGCTTTTTCTCAGGCTCCCGCAGGGAAAACCCAAAGTCCTGGACGAGCACTTCAAGAACTTGTCTGGAGCTTGGACAATTGCCGGGGTCCATGTGGCAAGTGAGATAATGTACAATATTAATATATATATGTACATTTCCAGTACATGTAATAATATATATATATATACACATGTAATATAACTATAACTATAACATAAATATGAGTAATATAACATATATATATATATAGCTGTATACAACTTATGTTTTCAATAATTCATCTCACAACTCATGCAACACAAAAATCATCAGATCACAAATCAACATCATCATCAATCATACCACAACGCATTTCTAACTTCATTTCACTGTGGCCAGGGAGAGGATATGGCTTGGGTATTGTTTCACAGCTTGTGTGCTGGCTACTTATTTGTATGCGGGTGGGTATGTATGTATGTATGTATGTATGTATGTATGTATGTATGTATGTATGTATATATGTATATATGTATATATGTATATATGTATATATGTATATATGTATATATGTATATATGTATGTATAGATGTATAGATGTATAGATGTATAGATGTATAGATGTATAGATGTATAGATGTATAGATGTATAGATGTATAGATGTATAGATGTATAGATGTATAGATGTATAGATGTATAGATGTAAAGATGTAAAGATGTAATGTAATGTAATGTAATGTAATGTAATGTAATGTAATGTAATGTAATGTATGTATGTATGTATATGTATATATGTATATATGTATATATGTATATATACATACACACACACATATGCACAACTATATATATGCATATATATATATACACATATACATATTTGTATACTCATATATATATATACAAACATACATATGCACAACTATATATATGCATATATATATATGTGCATATATATAGTTGTGTTCATAAATAAATCACAGACAAAAATGTATACTTATATGTGTTATATGAATATTTGTATATATTGTATCTCTCTCTCTGTATATGTATTGTATGAACACTATATATATGTATATTCCTCAATCCTGATTTAGCAGTCAGTGTCAATGACAATGGTAAGGTAGAATACAACTAACTTCCAGCAAGGAGTATCAACTGCCTCTATACAGAAGATTATGTCCTCCAATTATGATTGTTGGTTATAAAACCATTAGATATAGATATATAATAAATCTGGGGAAATAAATCAATCTAGAGAATTATGAACCACCCATATCTACCCATTAATTACTATTATCCCTTATTACTCGAAAATTCAGGAATCTCCTAGCCGCCGCCAGGATGCCTTCCAATTGGGTACTTAGATATCGCAATTACAAATTCAAAAAACAATATAAATTATTTCCATAAAAATTAAAAATTTCAATCTAATATATATAAAAAACATATTAATTATAATATCTATATTATTATATATATAAATTTAATATAAACATAAATTAAAAATAAATAAATAAATATTCTAAAAAATCGATATATAAAAAAAATTATGGCTAAAAATATATTGTAAATTATGGAATATAATATGGTGAATTAATAAAAAAAAATAATTTGATATTAAACTTAAATATATATATATATGAATATACGACAAAATTATTAGCATTTGAAAATAGGGAGTTGCTTTGAATTTTGCTTGTTTTTACGAAACCTTTATAACCGATAGGGGACGACTTAGTACCGATACCCTTAGATTCCAACATATTTCCACAATAATCTGGAATAAGGTATTTATTTCTATAGCAGTAACTATAAGCAGGGCTGTAAACAGCTACCTTAGCTAGTTTTCTCTTGCAGAGCACTAAGCATGTTTTTTGCGGTAATTTATGTATAATTCTTACCGATACCCTAACCGATACCAACCGATACCCATTTTTGTAATTATTCTTACTTGCCAATACCATGCCCCACGTATTACTCTTGCCGCTACCGCGTTTACCACTACTACTACTACTACAACTACTACTACTACTATTGTTATTATTACTACTACTATTATTATTACTACTACTACTATTGTTATTATTATTACTACTACTATTGTTATTATTACTACTACTACTACCACCACCACTACAACTACCACCACTACTACCACTACCATTACTACTACCACTACCATGACTACTACCACTACCATTGCTACTACTACTACCACTACCACCACCACTACCACCAGCAGCACCAGCACCAGCACCACCACCACCACCACCACCGTTACTGCTAGTACTAGTGCCAGTGCTAGTGCTAGTACTAGTACTAGCTAGTGCTACTACTTTTATTCTACTTGTTTTAGTACTACGAATAGCACTTGCTCCTGGATGTTATCAAAGAGCGAAAATCTTCACAATCGATAGGGGACGACCCAATTTTACCCGTGATAATTACGGTGAACAAATAATTTTGTCCACCACTCATATATATATATATATTTTCCGGAATTATTTGAAATTATATAATAATATATTTTATATTATAATATTATAATATTATAATATTATATATTTAATAATTGATCGCATTTGAAATATTTTTTTTTTCTAGATCTAGAAATATTTAAAATATTAATATTAATTTTTAAATAATTAATTTGATTCCGATATAAATTTAGAATAATAAAAAATATATATAATTAATTTTTTATTAAATAAAATTAAAAATATATATTTATTAGAAACAAAAATAAAAAATAAACATAAAAATTATATTTAATAAAATAAATAATTTAGATTTATATTATAAAATTAAATTATAATTAATATATTATTATTTTAAATAATATTTAAAATATATTTTTATAATATTATTTTATATTATTATATATAATTTATATTATTATATTATAAATTAAAAAATAATAAAAAATTCTAAATTAAATATATATATATATTAATATAAATTAAATAAATTATAGAAATTAATAAATTAATTATATATTTAATATAATTTAAATTATTATTTTAAATATATTATTAAAATTTATTAAATTATTATAAATATAATAAATATTATAATAATTATATAAAAATATATAAAAATA